AAAAAAATTATTTTGAGGCGTTTTTAGTAGGATTTTATTATCAAAATATAATTATTGTCATTTTTGTGTGTTTTTGTTAAATGTGGTAATGTAATATTGTGTGTTTTTATGAAACCGGCTGCTATAAAAGATGTTTTGAATCAATATGATTTTAAATGTAATATAATATATGGTATTCTGTATAGTGAATTTTAATTGGTTTTATGAATTTTAATTATAAATATGAAATCTTAGTATTTTTAGGTGCTTTATTAGTATATTGAAATTTTGAGATTGATTTTGAGTATATTTATATATAGATAAGCATTAGTAAGTATCATTGTAGGGGTATATTGCAGAAATGTTTACAAATGAGAGTATACTGACTGTTGAAGATAATTGTTTTGATTTAGCTATAAATGAAGCTAATGATATTGTTACTCTGGCTAGTGAATCACTAATAATCGTCGAAAACATTCTCTCGAAAGCCTATATGTGTTTTCGAGATAATATTTCGGAGGGTATTTTAACCGCATTGTCACGAGCGTTTCGTATACTTTTCCCAGGGTTGTTAGCTGCCAGCTTGTCTTAAACGATGAAGGATCAGCTGGATCCTTATCTGGCTTGAAGAAGAAACTTTCCTGCCCTATCTTGAATGCCCTGAAGAAGTATTTCATACTTAGGAGTTTATTGAAGAATTTGCTAAAGAAGCATTGTGGATAGCTCTAACAATGCTTCTGTCTAGGGATTCTGGTTCTTGAGCTTTTTTCTTTGATAGTATAAGAATTACCGCATTAACTTCTGTGTTCGTAAATAGCATTTTGTTTTCTGTTGTGACGGATAGGTTGTGTGCTGCATCCTCCCTCAATTCCATTTCTTCCTCCGAATCTCGTGGAAAATCTGCATCAAGCATGGTGTTAAACAACACAATCTAACACTTTTAAGTCTGGTTTGGTGTACATAACTATGAACAAACTTTTTGTGTATGGCTAAATTTTGACCATATCATATGTATTGATGAAGAGACACTCGAAACAGAATGAACTGAAAGTTTAGCTTATAACAGTGTAGAGTCGACTTTAAGCAAGCCGACTAAAGGCTAGCAACAGAAAGGAATGTGAATGATAATAAACAGTGGCTAGTTGACGACCTTCAGCTGCTTTGTTACTCTGAGAAGAAATTGGGTAGATTATAATATCCACGAAAAGAACAAAACCTATCACCAAATTTGTTACACAGTTTCAAGAAATAGTATTACAATGGGGAAGAGACAAAAATTAAAACATCAAAATGCTATGACAAGATTTGACCAAAAAAAAAGAAAATATGCAAATATTCGTAAGCATAACTATATACTGTGATTATGCTAATATAATAACTGAAATATACTTATTCTGTTGGCACCACATAGGCGATGTTAGCAATTATTACAATCTAGCTATGCGAAATACGTACTATACGAATTATACGAAACGTCGATTAATCGGGAGTCGAGTTTGATGGACTCCATAACACTTATCAAAATTAAATTGAAATTTTCGTCTTAAATAAATAATAAAAATTCTAAATAACGTACATTGAGCTTATCGAAATTTGTGTAATGGGTTTATTCAGGGGTCTACTTTATCGTTGTTCTCGCCAATAATTTAAACTCTTTTGTTATTCCGATGGTTTATTTAATTTTGAACGAAATTTCGTGTGTGGCTAAATTTTGACCATATCATATGTATTGATGATAGTTGAAATTAATTGAGATATTTTCCCGGCCTTTCGATAGACGGTGCTGTTCGCGACATTAGTCACGATTTTCCCCACGCCCCGACGTTCACTGAATTTTGAAATCAGGCAACAGAAAAGGTACGAATTATATGTTTGTGTTTTAGAACCGTTGTATGCGAAATAACGAAATAAAATGTATATATAAACACAATATTGTGAGCCTCAAAACTTGAGAGATACACGGTTTTGAATATTTACACTCCTGTTATCTCAGAGGCACGTGTGATTTTATTTTGCTTCAATTATTTCGTGCAAAATTTTATTTCTTTACTTGTGCATTTGAAACGGCATTCCAAGGGACGCTATGAATGAAATAACACTTCTTAAAAGAAAATAAAAACATGTTAGAACAAATATTACTCGCTTTATTACGAAGTTGACAGACGTTAATAATGATAATTCGAAAAATGTGAATAATGATGATTTAGAATATTTTTGTAATCTAATTTCGGATTTGTTGAGTTAAGTTATAGGATAATAGTATTCATAATTTATTCTCTGATGCTGAATATGAATCTGATGTTTTATAATGGGAAGAGTATACAGACAGTGTTAAAATCTTTATTTTTAAAGCACGTAAAGTTCTTCAGAATGTCATACATTTTTCTGCTAATAACATTCCAGTTTCTAACTTGCTCCTAAGTACTCCTACTTTCCCATCTCGCCTTTTCGGAGCGCCGACAGAAACAAGGGAAATCGTGTTTTCTGCAATATTTCATCGACGCATCCTGAAATACCGAAAGCTCTACGAATGGAGGATGTTAAAGATCTTAAAAGCGCTCTAGTGTACGCCATGAAATTCGAGGCAGCCCAACAAGCCACTCGTCGAGATCGTTACCCAGTCAGAGCTGTGCGAGTCCACGACCCAGAGGATCAGTTGATGGCTCGTTTAGATGATTTATCCAGACAAGTCGACGCTTTGATACGGAGTAGCAGTGAGAACAAAGTGGCTCTAAGGTGTTGGAGATGTGGTTCTGAAGGTCACCTACGATGGAATTGCAGAACACCTCGAGGTACGGAAAATAAAACAGATGATTTTACCAGACAAGTCAGTGGCTTGAGACGGAACAGAAGTGAAAAGAAACCAATTCTAAAGTGCTGGAACTGAGGTGTTGAAGGCCGCGTGCGAAGGAACTGCAGAACACTCCAACGAACGGAAAATACGATAAACGAGTTGAACAGACAATTAAATGCCATCGGACGAAAAAGATGTGACCAGAAACGAAAGTGCTGGAACTGTGGAGCTGAAAGCCATTTGCGAAGGAACTGCAGAACACCCCGGAGCACGGAAATTGAGACCATTTCCCAGCAACGACAACCGAGGAAACAAATAAATAAACATATCGAGGAACGGAGGTTGCCAGAGAATGAAAAACCTTGTTTCAAAGCACTCATTTCTACAGTGAGTGGCAATAGTAACGGACTGTCCATCAATGGGCACATCAGTGGAGTTCCTTGCAATATGATGATAGATACAGGAGCCAACGTTACTACCATCCGAATGGATTTGGCTCAACAACTGGGATGCAAACTTATCTGGACGCCATCCTGTGTTACCCTTCAGACTGTGCGTGTGGTAATAAGATCGACATATTTGGGAAATTAAACCTGAGCATCACGTTTGGAAGTGCCGCTTATCATCACGCGGTATATGTGGCGGATATTACAGATCCGTGCATACTCGGATTGGACTTTTCAAGAAAATACAAGTTTTCCTTAGACTTCAAAAATAACAAACTGCTTTCAGCATCTGATGACATGACTATCCATCCTCAGAAGGGATCCTCACCTGGAAACGCCGACGCCTTGTCTGAAAGACCCAGCTCAGAAAGTTGCCGAAATCATACTGTCGCCCTACGGATGCGCCTTCACCGCTGGAGGAATACGTCCAAGATGTCCAGGCCCGGTTTGAAGAGATGCAGCGTTCCGTACGAAAGCGCGAGTCAACTTGGCGACGGAGAAAGTGAAAACCAGATACAACACGAGAGCTACTGGACATAGATTCCACGAAGACGTGTGGCTGTGGAATCCGACTCGACGTAAGGGACTCTGTCCGAAATTACAGTCACCTTGGGATGGTCCATAGACAGTTCTGAACAGGCTGAATGACGTCCTGGTTCGGATTCGTAAGTCTTCGAACTCTAAACCCAAAGTCGTTCATTACGACAGGTTAGCTCATTACTATGGCCATAGTACGTAGTGTAAATAATTGTAAATAGTGTAAGATCATGGTCCTTTTTGTTTCTAAATGTGTATTTGATTTGATTTGTATTGTGTTTTGGATAGCATTTAATTTGCTTTATTTATTGCATTTATTGTTCATGTTGTTTGTTATTGTAATGTAATGCTTATTATTGTATTCATGCCTTAGTTTCAAGTTTGGCTTCCTGTCCAGGGATTGCACTGCCCGGGACGAGCAGTCCTTGGGGCAGTTTTATAAATTTGGTATTTAAATAGCTAATGTTAGTTCAATTAATTATAATTAGATGGTTTTATTTCCCGCGCAGTGCAGCGCGTGACGAATATTAAAAGAAAGCTAAGCCGGAAAATTGAAAATACAAGAGCGCATGCAAGTAACATTTAATAAATATCTCTTTTCGATTTCGAGAAAGTACTAGAAAATTCTCGCGCGCGATTTAAAAATCTTATAAAAATGAGGAAAACCTCTCAATTCAGTTAATCAGTGATTTTAGTTAGCTTGTTGTTGATTTAAGAGTTTGTTTAGAAAACTTCTCTTGTTGATTGTAGCGAATTCGCGGATTAGCTTTCTTTTAGCTGTTTTGAATTAACTTTTCTTGAACTTTTGAGTAGCTGAAAGATAACTACTGTGAGATACTGCAATACTGAAAGAATATCTGTGGGAATTTAAACATTTTTATTGTCATAATAATAAAATTTTGTCCATTTTTCATCGGTCTTGTGCATTCAATTCAAACAAACCCGTACGCACGCAACATGCCTCAATGGCCTGGCTTTTAAATTTAAATAATCCAGGTGAAATAGCCAGGTGGATACAGAGACTCCAAGAATATGAAATCACTATCGGTCATCGAAAGTGATCATCACACGGGAACGCCGACGCCCTGTCTAGAAGACCTTGCCCAGAAAGCTGCCGATATTGTTCCAGGGTGGAAGCGAAATACTAGCTGCTGATATATATCCTAAGTCGCCCTTTCGAGATAGGAAAAACGAAATTTGAATTTCTTCCATCGGCAAAGTAGAACGGGAGATATAGAACTGTCTTTTTTTTTTTTTTTCCCCCGCTGTGTACCTTCATTTTTCGCTTGTTAAGAATTAGCTCGGATTAAAAACTATGAATAATGTAAATAACTGGTAATAATTATCTGAATGTCAAAATAGGGTGTGTTCTCGCATTCTTATGGTCGATGTCTTACCTAGTTCTGTTCCAAGCGTATGGTCAACATCTGGGCCTGTATTTGCTGTTGGAGTTGAACCGGTGTTTCTCACCCATTCCAAGTCCACATCAGAATTTGCATTCTGCCATGTACAAAGGTCAGTTTCGAAATCGCAAGAACCAGGTGGTGGACAGCTTCCCTCTTTCACAACGATATCATCCACTGCAATATAGCCCTCATTTCCTTTGGCCATAACAGCTTCGAAGACAATCTGAAATGGGTTATATTATCATTATTAGGTCTTCCAGATGTTGAAACACTGTATATCTGATTATTGCGTCTAAGGCACTAATTCGTACTTATAAAAACAGTATATTTTCTCAGTACTGCTAATAATTAGTACCACTATCACAACATGCAGTTAATTAAACATCTAACTTATCAATTAACATAATGATCCTTTTTGCTGATAAAAACCTATATTTTTGTGCAAGTACAACAAGCATAATTTTATTCAAATTTGCTTAAAATTCGGTAAGTTCCTCATATAAATTGTCTATACAATGCATAGTTTTCATAAGAAGTTTTCCAAGAAAGTAATATAAATATCATACAATACGAATATAATATGTTACATAATTCATATGTTCGAAAGTGTAAGTATATAATAAAATTTTTAAGATATGTTTTTTCGTCCTTAATATTATGAATAACGTATCCGTATATAGTAAATTATTTTTATTTTTAAATCAATTATTTATTTAGATTATTTAAATGGAACCATGGATTTACATTTAAATCATTTTTTATGCCTCTATATTTTTGAATGTTACAAAAAATTGTTTTATTCAGAAAATAGATTGTGGTATAATTTTGTTGTGCAGATTACCTTAGACCACTTTTTTCTGTTTATAAATAATTTACAAAAAATTTAAGTCATCAGTCACTATAAGTATAATTTTTAAGATATATCTTACAAAAAATACAATCTGTCAAAAAACAAAAGTGGGGAAGGGAGACAGTTCTATATCTCCCATTTTGTTAGGCTGATCGACTAAAACTAATTTGCGTTTTTTTTTAGTCTTTTGATTTAGGATATATATTACATTTATATAGCATTGTTCTAACATAGGTATTTCGACACAAAATCGGACTTTTACGGAAATGATATACCAATTTGTTTTCATACTTCGATCGCTCATCTCAAATCATACCTAATTATTATTATTTTTTTAAATTTGGTGTGAGAAATGTACAGACAAATTTAAAAAAAGAAAGTCTTGGCGCTCTTAAATGAGAAAATTCTTGGCGCTCTTTTGTCCGTTTGTGCCAAGAATAATTCACTTCTCGAAAATTCTTAATTTATGGTCAGCTATTTTTCTTTCCGTTCACTGTATGCGAACAGAAGAAAAGTGCATGGTTCATTATTTGAAATGATTTAACAAAGAACGTAAACCCTATTCGGCGTTATTATCTCTTATAACAAACATGCCAAATTTCAAAATGCACTAATATATTAATTCTCGTATATCTTGGGAAAGTTTGAATAAAGAATTCTAATGTTTTGAAGCTATGCCTAGAAATATATCTATTTCAAGGTGATGGTAAAAGTTTTGCAGGTTGGAATTAAAAATATATTTTCGAAAAATTTATAAAAAATTACTCAAAAATACAAATTTAGAAAATAAATCAGAAATATCAGCAAGTTTTGTTTGGATTGAACTGATATTTCGAATTGTGAAAGGAGAAATCAAGTAAGCTTAATAATAGGAAAGAGCTATTAATAAACACATAACAAATTCAATTAATATTGAGGAACTAATAATTTGAGAGTTAATTCTGTAAAAAATATTCGTTCGATTTTTACAAAACACATAGCTTTGACATAATCTGAGTCAGAGACATGAAATATGAAAAAAATATGTATGTCATTTCAAAACAAGTTTGGTTTTGTGTCAGAATGCCTATGTGAGAGAAATTCTGTGTATAAATCTAATTCTGTGTATAAGGTAATTCTGTGTATATATCTAGGATATGTATCCTAAGTCGCACTTTCGAGATAGGAGGACCGAAATTTTAATTTCGTCAATTGGCCTAATAGAACATAAGATATAAAACTGTCCTCCTCTGAGCGAAGAGAGGAAAGCGGGGTATTTTTACTATTATGTTTCATATTTGTTAATGAACTAATAAATGTTTGCTGAAAAAATAAGAAGGAAACTTAAGCATTTAAAAAGTCGAAAATGAATACAAAATTAATGCAACTTATAGCACGTAAAGAAGAAGATAGATAGAATTTTAAATTATTTTATCTATTTTTATAGAATTTTTAAATTTACAATAGTTAATTAACAAAGATTATTAATAAATTAATCTTTTATATTATAAAGTTTTACTCATAATTTTCATGAAAAATACAGCCTAAAAATGTTTAGGAAAAGGACGACCAAAAACTGCATGACGTTAATATGCATAAAAATTGCTATTGCTCAGTTATTATCTCTATAAAAATTAATTAATTATTAAATTCCTCTATAAAAATTTCTTAGTTATTATCAAAATACTTTCTTTCCCGTTTGTTAATCTGATATTATTTTGGTGAAAATTATATCTTGTATTAATTCTCTTTATTCTTAAATTGTCGTTAACATTTCTTGCACCTCCAAATCTTTATGCGAATATATAACTTTTAAAACCTGAGAAACGTATGTGTGCGATGTTATCATCATGCGATGATTTGCAGGTGCTTTATTTTTTATCACGATATTTTCAACGACAATGTTTTAGAACTGCGATGTTTTCTCTTCGCTTTCTTTTCTCCCACGATGTTTTCACTTTGCGTTGTTTTTGCCGCGATGTTTTCGGCTGTAACCCATCCTACGCTAATTAAGTGCGAAAAAGAGCAAATTCCACAAAATTACTGTAGGAAGATGCAGCCACATGTGCAATTTCATATCTCTTGATGAAGATTTAATTAGATTTTTTTTTAATTTGGAAAGGATAACACATACCTCATGCACATATGGGGCATCTATCGTCCTTTGACCCACTCTCCAACTGTCATTGCCATGTTTGGTAGCATGAGACCAAAGTGAAAATTGTGGCAAAGCTCCTCCAGGCGTCCGCTGGTAGAGGTTGAGAGCGGTGACGCTCATACCAGTCATTTGGTACCAAAACCGAACACAACTTCGTATCACTCCTGTACTCGGGACTTTGGGCATGGTAAAACCGAGCTTTGTTGCCTCGATGAAGACGTGCACTGGATGATGGTAACACAATGAAGTAATGACCTGCGATGAAATACTTGTAAGATGATTAATTTAAGTAATAATATAAAATGACACTTTTATAACATATTCGAAGATAAATAAAGTACCTGAAAACATGATATAGCAGCAGGTAGTGTTTTTAATCTCTGAGAAAATGGTTTCTAACGAACTATGCCCCTATAACATTATCCAATTACATTTGCGAGTCTTATGTGTTTTGTGGCAGTGTAGTTGTCTTAAATAAGAGACGTGAAAAGGATTTATTATTATTTTCTGCTCAGAGGACGTACTGCTGGTATCAGAAGATTGCATCTATCAGTCCGGTCATTTTATGCTCGACATGATCAATGGACCAATTTCTTGACCAAGTCTTGACCAATGGGCCAATTTTCTCTGACAGCAACTGGCAGATTTTACCGAAGTACACAAATTCTGCCCACACATCGACATTGTGTGAAAAGGTGGGCGTTCATGTTACTCAGGATACTGACCCCGTAAGGAGAGAAATCATTGCTTTGTGTTATGTTATAATGTATTGCTAATCAGTCTGCAATGCTCTGTTATAATGCATACTGCGTTTCTCAGTGTTCAGCAAGATATGAAATAGTCATCATTATCTAAATTTCTAACTGTTAAATTTAACTCGCTTTCTTAGAATTTCTCCTAAGGAGAGAAATCATTGCTCTGAATTATGTTGTAATGTATTGCTAATCAGTCTACAATGCCCTGTATAATGCATACTGCCTTTCTCAATGTTCAGTATGATATTATAAAATAGTCATCTTTATCTAAGTTTCTAACTATTAAATTTAATTCGCTTTCTTGGAATTTCTCCTAAGGAGAGAAATCATTGCTCTGAATTATGTTGTAATGTATTGCTAATCAGTCTACAATGCCCTGTATAATGCATACTGCCTTTCTCAATGTTCAGTATGATATTATAAAATAGTCATCTTTATCTAAGTTTCTAACTATTAAATTTAATTCGCTTTCTTGGAATTTCTCCTAAGGAGAGAAATCATTGCTCTGAATTATGTTGTAATGTATTGCTAATCAGTCTACAATGCCCTGTATAATGCATAATGCCTTTCTCAATGTTCAGTATGATATTATGAAATAGTTATCTTTATCTAAGTTTCTAACTATTAAATTTAATTCGCTTTCTTGGAATTTCTCCTAAGGAGAGAAATCATTGCTCTGAATTATGTTGTAATGTATTGCTAATCAGTCTACAATGCCCTGTATAATGCATACTGCCTTTCTCAATGTTCAGTATGATATTATGAAATAGTCATCTTTATCTAAGTTTCTAACTATTAAATTTAATTCGCTTTCTTGGAATTTCTCCTAAGGAGAGAAATCATTGCTCTGAATTATGTTGTAATGTATTGCTAATCAGTCTACAATGCCCTGTATAATGCATACTGCCTTTCTCAATGTTCAGTATGATATTATGAAATAGTCATCTTTATCTAAGTTTCTAACTATTAAATTTAATTCGCTTTCTTGGAATTTCTCCTAAGGAGAGAAATCATTGCTCTGAATTATGTTGTAATGTATTGCTAATCAGTCTACAATGCCCTGTATAATGCATACTGCGTTTCCCAGTGTTCAGTAAGATATTACGAAATAGCCAACATTATATAAGTTTCTGACTATTGAATTTAATTTGCTTTCTTAAAATTTCTTAATAGACTATCTTTAACAGTACGTTTGATAAATCAGTTTTTATTAGACACGATAATCATATTGTTTTTTTTTCTATATTTGCTTCAGTAAATGTCATAACAATAATATAGAATTGATATTAAATTTAAATATTATTTTAAAGAGTAAAAAAATTTAATTACTATTTTTTTACTAAGTTATAACTCTGATACCACAGTATTTAGTTAAAATCATCAAATTAAGTATATTAAACAATTATAAATTTGTAAATTTAAAACTAATATCTTCATAACATTTCAATTTCCCTTTTTAGATGAAAATCATTTTTAATTTATATTAGGTGTTTAGTTTTAAGTTGTATACTGTTTGTTCTCTCTTTCCGTACCTCGAGTCACAAATATTGGACTAAACCAGAAGTCATGCAAATATAAATTATGCGCAAATAAATTAAATATATGCTACTCTTTAATTGCAACTCATGTTGCTGCAGAAAAAATGTCCTTCGTCGGTCGTTGGTGGTGCTCTGTTTAACAAGCTGGATTTTATTCAGGAGGAAGTTTTCGTTGGTTTCTGAGTTTTCCATCGAGGTTCATCCACATGGGAAGTGAACATTTATCCAAGTGTGTTTCTGGATACCTAAAGTTGTTTATACAAACTGTTAAGTGGCAGGTAGCCTATTTTGAAACTAAATATCGCGAAAGCAGAGATTTATTTTGTATATTATATTTCAAATCATTTACCATCAACTGCGAGTTGAATAAAACTTTGTATTGTCATCTCTTGCAGTAGTAAAGTCGTATTTTTGGTCTGAGCCCTTATTCACCCGGCACAGATTTTTATCTCGTTGGCGTTTAGACAGTTTTCTGACCATAAAGCATTGTGGCTTAAGGCATTAAGAAATTTAAGTCCATTCACACCTGTTTAGCTGGGTTCAAGGTCAATTCGCTTTTTATTTTCTGTTCAAAATTATTGATGATAATTGCCCCCTTCTAAGTCGATTCTGGTCCTTAATTTTTCCAAGCAAAATTTAAATGAAAAGTCTTTCAGTGTTTTTTTTTTTTTTTCATAGTAGACAGGGCCGGCGCCAGAGCATGTGCAACAAGTGCGATTGCAGCGGGCAAGGATATTCAGGGGCGGTAAAATTTAATATTTAAAAAGGAATCGGGTGGCAGAATTTAGGATTTGCGGAGTTTGCACAGAGCTACAAATACTCTAGAGCCGGTCCTGTCTCTAGAAGGTAGGTCTCTTTTAAACCATTTTATTTGGCTTTCCACATTTTCACCTTATTTGATAGAACCCTCCTTTGCTGTAAATACGAGGGTTGGAACTTTAATAGTGGCAACATAGCTGAAAAAACGCTACGCTACAAAACCAAAGAATATCGCGTATATGACACGTCAACTTCATACCTACCTTACCTCTCAGCAAAAAGACTCGTCCTGCCTACGTCAAGCGCATGCGGAGTGACGCGAAGAACGAATCCTTGTATTAGCTCGCGGTCTAAAGTTAGTGTTGTCAGGATGTTCTCAAAAGAAGAACAACGATGTTGCATAAAAATTGAATATGCCAGAGGTCGTACAGCACGACAGTGTCATCAAGGGCTTCAAAAGGCTTGCGGGGAATCTGCATTGCCTTACAGAACCGTACAAGATGGGTGAAAGCATTCAATGAAGGATGCCAAAACGTGGCAGACATGCTGCGGCCAGGTCGTCCGAGTGTCAGCGATGCAGGCGTGCAAGCTGTTGCCGCATTAATGGACAGTGATCGCCGCCAAACGATTCGTCAGCTGGCCGGACAAACAGGATTAGCGCATACGACTGTGTTGCACATTCTAAAGGAACGCCTGTCCATGAGAAAAATTGCTTCACGATGGGTTCCACGGAAAATGGTTTGACGATGATCGTCTTCACGATGGGTTTGACGAAAATGCAGAAATGGCCACGATACGATGCTGCCCGAACCCACCTGGAGCGCTATGAGCGCGAAGGAGATTGTTATGCCGTATCATTACGCTGGATGACACTTAAGCCCGATCGTACCAGCCAGAACTGAAACGCCAATCAAACGAATGGCGTCATCACGGGTCACCACGACGTTCGAAATTTTGTCAGAACCCCAGCAATGTGAAAGTTATGGTGATTCTCGTGTACGACTGTGATGGTGTCATCCTAACGCATACCGTTCCCCCACAGTAGACCGTCACTGCGCAGTATTACTGCTCATTTTTGGAGCACAATCTCCGACCAGCTTTGAGAAAAAAACGGCGACACTTTCTGCAGAATGCTTCTCTCATTTTGCATGACAATGCTCGGCCGCATGCAGCGCAAGCTGTGACTGATTTGTTCAAGCGATGGGGCTGGGAAGTGCTTTACCATTCACCATACTCCCAAGATCTAAGCCCTTGTGACTATGACTTAATTCCTAAGATGAAGGAACCACTTCGTGGCACTCGCTTCCAAACTGTTCCTGAGATTCTTGCGGCAGTGGACCAGTCCATTCAAACTATCAACAAAACAGGCGCTGCTACAGGTATTCTGCGACTTCCACATCGTTGGAAACGGGCTGTACACAATGCTGGCGACTATATTGAAGGACTGTAAAACATGGTGACATGAATCACTTTTGTATTCCTTGTAAATAAATAGTTGCCACTATTAAAGTTCCAACCCTCGTATTAAATTCATATATAATGGGAAGGTAAAGGCCTACGTACTCCGTAATTGATTCCTTCCTTGATCCTTAATCGCTGTGATTGGTTGACTCTTATACCAATCTGTATAAAGTTGAAATGTTAGAATATTTAGGTAAAACCCTTAAACCAGTTTTTCTAACGTAGTAAGCTGTGGTTGCTTAGCAACGATGCTCGGCTTAGAACACTAAGGATTTTAAAACCAGCTTGTGAACGAAGCCTCAGGTGCTAGAACAGAAGCTTGATGCAAGTCAAGTAAAAGAGTTGTAATAATATAGTTTACCATAAAAATAGTATAATAATACCTTATCATATAATAAGAATAGTGCATTGAAGTTTATTAAAAGCTTAATAATTGTTGCTAACTTATTTTCAAGAATATAAAAATTTTTAAACAAAAAAGTATAAAATATTAATGTGGAAAAACACCAAGGGAAAACTTCGTATAAAGTCCCTATGTTACACTTAGGTAAAATCCCTAAAACATTTTTGACGTAGCGACGACGCTCGGCTTAGACCACTTGTGATTTTAAAACCACCGTGTGAACGAAACTTTAGGTACTAGACTAGAAGCTTGGTGGAAGTCCAGTAAAAAATGAAATTTGTAAAAAGCTTAATAATTATTACTAATAAAATATCTGAAAATATTTTCAAAAATACAAAAGTTCCAAATTTGAAATATTTATGTCAAGAGATAGCATGCGTAAGCTTCCTATAAAGCCACTTCTGTTTCCATGTGTAAAGTTTTAGTTTCTTGAAGAAAAATAACCTATGTAAGTTACTCTAGAAAGTGATAGAAATTTATTTGAAACCTACAGCCATCTTTTATTTTTCACCTTTCATTTCGCGTTGGCGTATATATCTTCTCTAACTCATGCTAAATGTCTACCAAGTGTTATATAATGTTAAAAATTTAATTGCCGACATGGCGGAAAAAACGTACCTTCTCCCGTGCCGTAACTTTTGTCCAATTTCGGTCCGACTTTCGTACTTTTTGCCTGCACTCTCTTCCACGTGATTCCATCCGGAGACTCTGTTGTAAAACCACAAATGTCCGCCGACTCGAAGTCACATGGGTGGCCCTCTAAAATAAAAGGAAATCTATTCTCAACATTATCACGCAAAAAGTATAGAAAAGCTTGTTTCTTTGAAGGATCTGCCCAGAACTAATACTCTTGTTATAAAGTTACTTTATATACTTGTATAAATATGCATATGACACAGTTTCAGAAAAAATACCTAGCCAGAAAACAAATCAAATTATCTTGAAAATTTATATTCAAATAAAATCATAATAATTATTAAAAGAAAAGAAAAAGAAGAAGGATTCAGATTTTAATGTTGCACCAGAGGATATATTAAAGCTTTCCCGCTCTCGTTGAGCTCGCATTTATCTATCTACTCTTGGACTCTTGGAAAATTTATCTCCGCAGGAGTGTCTTTTTAATATTATTATTGAACATCACTTTCTTCGCACACATAAAATTCAACAGAAAAATCACAAAATTTTGGAAACCGCAATTATTTAACCCTGAAGGGTTATTATTCTCCAAACTTCGTGTTGTGTCTAATGACGTTTGTCCGTTTCACTTTTCAAATAACTCGCCACTGGCGGGGCCAGCCCGCCAAAAATAATTACTGTAAAAGTAAAAATATGATTATGATTTAATAAACCCAGACTGTGTCATTTTACCGTTGATGCTTAATAATATAAATAAAGGATTATATTACCATATCTATATTAATATAATAATATAATTCATTATCTATATTAATAATATAGATAAAGTACTGCGTTTATTGTTTTTAAAGAGATAGTGTGTTAACTGGTAATAATCTGGTTAAATATTTGGTGAATCTTCAGATTATGGTAACTTGGCGAATTTGGGCGAAACTTTGGCGACCAACCCTGCTACAGCAACCTGCTAGTTTTTTTTGGACGCCATTTTATTTTCATGAAGTAAAGGCATGTTTTTTTTTTTTTTTACTCAACATTTTTTCTAACAATCTGCTAGCCTAATTACGCTTATGCTAGAACTTTTATAGAACAAAAGTGCTTAATCATGACGAATATTAGGTGCGAAATTGGGAGAAAGTGCAGAATCGCCCACTGCTTCGCGCGTTTTTAAGAATTGCACATACGCGGTATCCATGTACACGTCGACCTATTTTCACTTAAAAAAAAAACATCTCAGAATTGCCCAAAAATGGCATTGCGCACACTCTTGACTTTATCCATGTACACATCGACCTATTTTCACTTAAAAAGTCAAAGAAAATTGACAAAAATCCAATTCTTCTTACTCTTGTAAAAAAAGCCAAACAAGTAAGTGGGCGATTCTGCGCTTTAGCAGCGAAATTGTTTCTAAGTGCTTATTACCTAAAATCACGATCGGAATTTTCCGGTCACATGACATGCCTCATGATCTCTCATTTCTCTGAGACAAAATAATCTGTGATTCGAACTGTGTACTTCTCAGATTATTGCTAAAGTCCTACCTAGTAACCTTTATCGCCTTACCAAAATGTCGCCAAACTACCTGTTACCATATTTCAAAGATTATCCAAATATTTTATATCGAATATTTTTAGAATTCCCAATAAAGTGTGAAATGTTTCACTAACTAGTGTGTTTTTTCGCCCAGCGGGACCAGAAGTTAACTTTAAATGTCTGTTAATGACCGAAAAGTGTGTCTTTATGCCCGTTGAATGAATAATTTGTTTTGGCGTAGAAACTCAATTATGACAAAAATTATTTTCTTTACTTATTTTTAATTTTATTTGTTTCTTAAGGTATACATTTTACAATTTTTATGAAGATAGTTCAAGATTTTATGTATTTTTGCTTTGCCGCGAAGTGAGAACTGAGTTGATTGAATCAGAAATATATCTCTTATGTGAAATCGAGGAAATAAATTCAAGTGAAGTGCAGCAAAAAATGTGTATAATTTAACAGGACATACAAGGAAGTCATACGAGATATCCACACGAGATATTTTCTACAATGAAATCAAAATCAGTGATGTTTTCCTTACACTTACTTCGAAACGGGCAACGATCAGGAGTCAACAGAATATCGTCAACTGCGATGTCTCCTACATCAAGGTTGCTCCTCGTCGGTCTCAGCACAATGGACATAGCCACTGATTTTTTCATGAAGAAACTACCTTCTTTCCACTTCATATCAGCGCTTTCCTTCTTTATCCATAAAGGCCCAGTTACCACATTATCTAGGAAGTATTAGAGATTAAAATAAAGTCAAGCACAACGAACTGAACGTATTATGTTACCCACAAATAAAACATTATTACACTTTTGCAAGGTCCTCGTTATATGTGAATGTACAGAAAAAATATGGATAAATTTTCGTCCTTATATCAACTTTATAAGAGATTTACATCTCTATAGAATTCTAATACTCTAAGTTCGTTGAAATAGATGCTGCATAAACAACGTATTTTGCTTGTCAAGATTTTATTACCACTCAAGTTCGTCACTACTTTTCATTAATCTGCTGAAACGCTGAACTGAATATGGACTGAAAATCCTGATGTACTTTCAGGAATGGTATTCACTCTAGCCGTAATAAAAGCTTAATTTCTAACTATATGGAAATGTAAATTAAGTGTAATTGCTTCGAAGGTAATTTTTCGATTTTTTAAAATTCCTTCAAAGATTTAATTGCAAATGTTTCGTGAAATCTCAGAGTGCTAAAATTTCTAAAAGCTGGAGTAATTTTAGACAATGTATTAGCGGAAATATGGTTAAAATATTTCTAACTTGATTTATTTTAGAATAAATTTAGATTAAATCAGTTGTGGCATTATACTTAAGTTTCACTAAATAGTTTAAGTTTAATTTACTTCTTTCCTCTATGTTTCTTTCATCAAGAACTCGCTTCTTTCAGAGAGTTGTGCACATTCAGAGGCAAGCAATTCAGTATACTAAGAAAAAGAGTTTGAAACAGTATATTATTAGGCATTTTGTACTTAGATAGATAGTTTTAATCAAACTACACGTAAAACTATTGTATTTCTTTTGTATAATGTAACATGAAAATCCGAAGAAGCGAAGCTTGCTGTACAGTAAGCTACGAGTAAGAGTACAGGAACAGGTCTATTTAACATTGAGTAAATGAATATCTCCGTAAATTGGCTAGATATCGCCAAGACGGCAATGGGTTTTGGCTACTAATTATTGTCGCCAACTTTTGAGAGAAATCGCCAGAAGTCGCCAAGCTTTGCGACCATATGGCAACTTTTTTGTTCGGTCCCTGTATCACTGTAATAGGTATTGTAATTGAATAAATGTCGTTGATCACTATATTAGCTGTAACCGTAATTTGGCCCTCATATGCCTTCCAGCAATTTCGAGAAGCAGAAAGTATTAGAATTATCTCGGCGGGCGATTGAAAACTATACAAGACCGGAGAGACCATCTGCTCTCAGTTGTTGCTGTTGCTGTGAGATGTTACTTCAGAGTGACCTCGGAGTCCTGAAAGCTCTCAGTTGTTGCTGTTGCTGTGAGATGTTACTTCAGAGTGACCTCGGAGTCCTGAAAGCTCTCAGTTGTTGCTGTTGCTGTGAGATGTTACTTCAGAGTGACCTCGGAGTCCTGAAAGCTTCGCCTTTTAGATGAGATTTGATTGCTTTGCGTTTAACTCTTTTAGTAGTTTGAAGTGTAGCTACTGATTGCACACTATGTTACTATGAACACCTGTACGAGTATTTCTATGGAGAGTTCCAGAACTCTGAAGTATTTTGATAAAATAAATTTTATCACCTTATTATTGGACCAGTGTGCATTCAATCTATTACGAACCCGTGCGCATACAACAGTACTATACCCACGTTTAGCTGTACAAACTCAGCTTGTTAGTTAAACGTCGTTGCTCGAGAAGGAATTAAAATCTTAACACTTTAGCTCGGCTGAGAAGTTAAGATTTCAACTAGCGTTTAGTTGCCGACTGATCGGTTGATTTAATCAGAAAGTACTTAGCTTGAAAGTAAAGAGACTATACACTCTGCAAAATAAATCAATAAATAAAAATCTGAAAGCTTTCATATTTGACATCACGCCCAAAGGGCCGTTTTTTTAACGTTTTGTGTGTTACTTTTCTTTATTAAATATCATGCTCTCCGCGCTTACCATAAAATTCAATTCAACAGCAATATCGCAAAATAGTTTTAAAACGGGCATATCTTTAGAATTTCCGATATATAAAATAAATGGAGATTTAAAAATGTGTTTTTTCCGTACTGTGTTGCCATTCTTCTCTTTGAAATCGTTGAGTTTGTTAATCAAAAATTCTTTATTGTCTGACAAAATACGAAATAAATAACAAAACAAATTCCAAATTCGGGCTTCCAGATGTCCATATTCGGGGGAGGATTTCGTAATTCAAGATTTGATGGCTCTAGGTACCGTTGTTTTATAACAGTGCGAGAGAAACATACATAACATATCTATTCAGATTCTTCATTATTTCTATTCTTTAAATATAATACAGGGCTATAATATTTGGTGGCAACGGTTTGAAAAGTGAATCAACGCAAAATGGCAAAACGAAATTAATAGCCCTTCGGGCTAATAAATCGATAAATTAAGATAACATTTGAATGGTGGGAAAAAAAAAAAAAAAAAAAAAAAAAAAAAAAAACTGAAAATTTTCAGATTTAAAATTACGCCCACGTCTTCTTTTTAACATTTTGTGCGTTACCTTTATTTATTACATATCATACTCTTCGCCTTTTAACCATAATATTCAGCAAAAGACATAAAAATCGCGAGTTAAATTTTCTCAATTGGTCCAGTAGAAGGGGAGATACACTTTATTTTGCCCTTCATCTATGGTGAGGCAGAGTTAAGTTGTCAGAGAGAACTGACAACTTTTCTTGAGTAATATTTCAGAAATTAGAGCCATACCTAAATAGCAAAGAAGTGGAAACAAATCCCATATAATTGTTACACAGTTACGTATAAAAATTAGAACTATTTCCTATATTGTCATACGTATATATATTTTTGTACATAAAAATATTTAGCATGCCATTAAATATGATATTTAAAGCTAAAACCTCAATAAAAATCAAGTAGTGATTGAAATATGTCCTTGGCGCAATAACGTTTTGAAATAAAAACTATTCATGAAAATGTTTTTACCTAATAGAGAAGGAAAGAATCACTATAATTGGCATATCTAGTGTTTTCAAAGTATTCGATGGCGTCGTAAAAGGAAAGAAAAAAAATCCCTTTCCTTCAGCTTTAAAGGATGATCTGCCTGTGTCTTTAATTCAGACCTTATCCTATAAATAGAAATTTTATGACAACTGCACACACGTTCTCATCTGCCCCTGTGACGTAACTACCTGCGGCCACTGCCGTGCAGCAAATAGATATTCTTTTTTCCTGATGAGGAGGGATGCATTCGAATGTGGAGAAGGCTCTGACTTTTAAATGAGGAAGATGAATTATCATTCACTACATTTTTGTTCAGAGAGTTTCTTGGAATACATTCTTAACCCTTTGCAGGCCAAAACGTCCGAAACAGCCTTCCATTGGAACGACCACAACAGCCCGAAGCGGCCGATATTGCCATATTGTTTTCTTCCCTCCCTCCATAGGTATGCAGTATCAGGCGCAGTTTCCCAAAATGAATTGCATAGCTTGTACTAAAAGGATTTTATCTTTAGGTTACGAGTGACATTTGAAATCTTCACATCTTTTTATGCTTTAATGGATGGGGAGTGACGTAAATTGCTGTGAATCTCCAAAGGGCATTTCGGACGTTTCGGTATTTTAAGCATACACTTTAGCGAAGGCTTCGGTTTTTGCAAAAGTTAAAGCGATCACCAAATGTAATAGGCACTTTCATCCCAAACATGCTCATCAGCCTAAAATATTCAGCCCATGGCGGGGTATTGTAAGCCTCTCTCATAACTGTTTGATTCTAAAGACCAGACGCTGACAGAGACTATTATTTAGATTACCAAATTAGATTTTCAATAAAAATGACTGTGGATATAAGAGCTTTAGGAAACTACAATCAAACTTTATAAGTAGCCTCATACTATTACTTCCAACCAGTAACAATCCTCGATTGTCTAATTATGACTGTTCACATTAAAACTTAGAAAGAACAGCGAATCGGCCGCCCAGACGGTTTAGTTGTTAGGGAAGCCTGACTGCGATACCTAAAGGCCCGGGTTCGAATCCTGGAGAAGGCATGGATGTAAAATTGTTTGTCCCTTCATAGGATGGTAGCAGTGCCGCCTATTAGGTGCCTGCCCAATAAAATGGTCACCACTTCTGTAGCGGCCAATGCCGTTATAGGCAAGTTCTCGCCATTGGAAGGAAAAAAAAAGAGGCAGCGAATCTGTTTTGGTTAGCGTTTACAGCTATAAACAACAGCAATGTGAGAAGAGATCTTTCAGAGATGTGAGGAAAACATTACTTGCACTTTGATAGTACCTAAGCCTTCACTACACTGGCCTCTGTAATCGTACCACGGAAATCTGACAGCAAAGAATGGGGTTAAATGGAATACGGCGACTGTTTCAGAAAATGCGTTATCGGCTAGCGGAATTTTTCAGGTAGGAGCAAGAGCTTATCTGTCTATGATTATCGCAACTAAATTTGTGTTTGCTACGTGACTATTGGTTAAAAACTCTAAAACCTTGTGGGGTACCAACCGTTACCTAACAGCTAAATGTGTAAGAACCTCGTGAACATTTAAGCGTATAATCGCTTTATGTCAGAAACAGATACGTGAAACTCAAGAAGGGTTAATTACCCTTCATTTCTCAAAATAAAAATTTACAAGCTGGTCCCTTTCTAGTCAGAATCTCTGGCTCTCTAATGAAGTCAGCGGAACATCGACTGAGATACCGCTCTTACTCATTTGCATTAACCACAATTCTAATAACACATTTTGGTAGGAAATTGCAAGCTGAAATTAGGAGGGACAGGAAAGTAGCTTTAAATAAAAATAACTGCTAAAAACTTAGGATAAACTTTACAACCTTTTCGGAGATAAAACCACAAACTTTGCTTTCCTTGTATACTTACTCTGAAGCATATACATTTCCAGTGTGACTGGAGACGGGCTGTGCATGTAATACCAAAACTGGAAGCAGTATTCTTGCTTGGAAGTGTCAATTTCAGAACTGATAAGGTCATGTCCACTGTTGTTGAATGGTTTGTAATATGCGTACCGTCCTGCAAATATTACAGTTTGGTTTTATCTGTTTAGTCATTACAGTAAGAATAAATTAAAAGTGCAACTTTTAGATGCTAAGCAAAATTAACAAAAAATACAATATTAATTCTAATCCATTTGGTTAGTACTCCCAGTTTCATTATACAAAACGTATTATTAAAATTTTATATTATAAAGGTTGTGCCTGATTATTATTACAAACAAAACGTATAAGTACAGAAAAACAGAAATACACTTTCAATATAAAGTACTGCATAAAGAAGAAACTAAACAACAGAAAGGAGCAAATTCAGATTATATTGTTTTATAATAGTATTTTTAAAAGCTATTCTTAACCCTCTCACTGCGTACTTTTTTTTTATCAAAATAGGTTCAAAAATTGCGTATAATTTAAATTTCATATTTCAAATCTACATATATTTTACAGTTAAAATATACAAAAAAATTTTTTAAATAGTTTTTTTTTAATATAGAATTAGATCATAGGAAAAGGTTGTCAGAATACTGAAATTGAAGAATAATGATACAAAAGGAAATTGGAAAATCAAATGGTTAAATACAAAGGAAACATAATGAATGACAAAGTCATGGGATAGCACTATGCAAATATACAGATGCAGTAGTATCGCTTTAGAAAATGTATAAATGCGAAGTGCTTTGCAGGGCTTTCATTGTGTTCAAGTTATTATGAAGAGGCTTGACGTGATTATGGCCGCACGATTAGAATTAACAGACTTGAACGCGGGAATGGTAGTTGGAGCTAGACGCATGGGTCATTCCATTTCGGATATCGTTAGGGAATTCAACATTCCGAGATCCACATGTCAAGAGTGTGCCGAGAGTATCTATTTCAGGCATACCATCCCACCATGGACAGCACAGTTGCCGACCACCTGCACTTGACGACCGAGACCAGCGACGTCTGCTAGAGTTGTCAATGTTCACGGACAAGCAACACTGATCAAATAACCGCAGAAATCAATGTGGGACGTACGAGGGACGTGTCGATAGGACAGTGCGGCGAAATTTGTCTTCCTTGGGGTATCCAAGCAGAAGACCGACTCGTGCCTTTACTGACAGCACGACATCGCCTGCAGCGACTCTCGTGGGCTCGTGACATATCGGTTGGTCCCAAACAAATGAAACCGTGGCTGGTCAGATGAGTCACGATTTCAGTTGGTAAGAGCGATGGTAGGGTTTCGAGTGTGGCGCAGACCCCACAAAATCATGGACCCCAAGTTTCAATAAGGCCTGTTCAAGCTGGTGGTGGTTTCATAATGGTTGGGCTGTTTTTACCATGGCATGGACTCGGTCCTCTGGTGCAACTGAACCGATCATTGACTGAAACGATACCTTCACTACTTGGAGATCACTTACAGCCATTCAGGGACTTCACGTACTCAAACAACGATGGATTTTTATGGACAATGCGTCATGTTACCGGGCCCAATTGTTCGCGATTGGTAGAAGAACATTTGGACAATTCCAGCGAATGATCTGGCCACATAGATCGCTGACATGAATTCATCGAATTTATGGGACATCATCGAGAGTTCGGCCAGAAACCCTGGCACCGTCAAACTTTCACAATTATGGACGTCTATAGAGGCAGCATGGTTTCAATATTCCTGCAGGGGACTTCCAACGACTTGTTGGTCCATGCCACGTCGAGTTCCTGCACTTTCGCCGGGAAAAGAGGACCACAAAATATTAGGAGTATCCATGACTTTTGTCACTTCAGTGTATTACTAATAAAATTTTTCATAATGTAATATTTTGCACCACGGATTTTCAAGAAACTGAATTTTCAGAATTCATCACTATCTGCAGAGAATCGAGAAATTCTCATCGTTTCGTTTAACTATCTTCAATATACTTGAAATCAGAGTCAGAGCTACTATCATCTCAGAAATCGTCAGAATATAGGTATATCCTCGCGAAACGCTTCCTGCCAACACCTTTGAGCTCTGAAAAGCGCGCGGAAAGCTACATTACGTATTCTTGTATATTTGGCAGAAATGTGGACAACTAACGCCATCTGTTAGCCCACATCTAGATAAACAATAAACATCACAGAAAAGCCGAAAGGAAACCTTGAACGGGGAAAGAGCGAGTTGCACAGTTAAATAGACGGCAAAAATTCCTCCCTGCGGAAATCGTGGTTTGCGCAAATTTTGCTATTTTTACGTTGCTCGCGGGATGCGCAGCAAGAGGGTTAATAGAATTGAAGCACACGTTGTGTAAATATAGTTAAGAGCATAAATAATCCTACCCCCCAAAAAAAACTTGAAGGAAAATAATTTAATATACCCATAGCATCTTGTCTGGTGTGGTCAAGAGCTGGTCCTAGTTTAGAGATCAAGCCTTTCCTTCCATCTTGTACGACCCAAGCATCACCATTGATCCAGTTACAAAAGTCGCCATTTTCAAAGTCACAATTCCAGACGGATGGAGCTGAAAGAAACGATTTCTCAGTTAGCATTCTGTAAGGCTCCTAAGTGCTATTGAAAGCTTCCTGAAGATTTCTATTACCGCGCTCAGTTAAAAATTGAAAGTTTAGAATGTTATTAAACAATGTGAAAGCAGAAAGCATAATAATCTATATAGTAAATTCGTGGGAAGCGATTTTGACGCTTCTCATCTTCGTATGACTTTAATCGGCCGAGATATTAATTAAAAACTCAGAAAACATTAATTTTCGCATTCATTTTTCTGAGTGGAAACAGTTTCACGCACTGGAGATAAAAATCTGCTTTATTTCGAAAGTGTTGCCACTGCTCGCTTTCAAATTCAAGAGTTTGTTTAATAAAAAATTTATAAATTTTACAAAATCTCTACATATAATAAAAGAAGGAGTCTGTCTGTGTGTGTGTCTGTCTTTCGTTCGCGCTGAGCGTAAGCTAATAGACCCACGGCTACGAAATTTCGTACATAGGTGCATCTAGACAAGAGCCAGTGCACCTCGAAGCGATTTTTTCGAAATTCGAATTATAATTTTTTTTTAGTTTATGTTTTGTGACGAAATCGAGTCATTTTGAGTCATAATGGGCTATAGGAAAGCTAGAATTTACTCTACACACTCCATTTTCACATCGTCATGAAACGTAGGCACTTAGCTATTTTGCGAACTTAAAATAAATTTCGTGTTTCAATAAATCGATTCAATACGAATTTATTTAACAAAGGGAGCATAACACCTTTTCAACGGGATTTTTTCTAAAAAAGTTTATTTTAAAAAAATGTACAGTTTATTTTTCTTTGATTTTTGGACACGTTAATCTTTCATCCTTGCGACTGCTTTTACAAAAAGAATTTTGGAAAAAATGATAATATTTTGTATTTTTAAAAATTTTTTTAAATGAAGCTTCCGAGTACACTTCTCACATCTCACTCTTCAAAATGTGATTTTGGCAACAATTTTCCTGTCTTATTGTTGTTGAATAGATTTTTTGATGAAATCGCATCCATTTTGAATAGTTTCATTTTTTTAAATATGGGTTGGGCAACAATTTTTCATCGTATTTCTTATGTCACTGTTTTTAATAGATTGGCATATTTCATTGTCATTTTTTATATATACGTATAATGCATTTTTACTGATTTTTTTTGATAAAGTTATAAGAATTCTACGCGGAATTTTTTGTTTTAGTGTTTCTTTCATGTTATTTTTTGCTTATTGCACTATTTGTAAGATATTGAAAAGTTTTGCACGATTTTTGTTCTTCAACGGAAAGTTGGTTTATTAGGATAATTAATATTTGTATTAAGGGATATTGCTTATTTCATAGTAATTTTGTTATACGTAATAACTTTTTTTTATGAAGTTGTTCTGCAGAGTAAATTTCTACGCAGTTCTTAAATTTAACGTTTGGTGTTCCCTTCAGCCATTTTTCCGGTACATTTAAAAGCCAGACGAAGGCTGGCAGCGAAGGTGCTAGTATGAAATAAAAATATCATTGCTAAACATTAAACATATTATTAGTACATAAGGTCATATTGTGACGCCGAAGAAAGCATGCGATTGTAAGTGACGTCATTGTATGCTGAAAATGTTTCGTTAATCAGCATTTTAATGACTTGGAGTCTAACAACCTCAGCTTAAGCACTTAATCTAATTTGCCTTCTGGAGGGGAAACGGAAGCGAAAAGTGACAGCAAAGATCCAAAGCATAACATAATTGGTTAATGAAATATAATCGTATCCTTACATCTTTACTAATCTTTACAAAGAACGATACGTATCTTCCTATTAAGTGTTACAAAAACTTTCACTTTGGTATTAGCTTTAGATACTTCTAAGATACCTTGCTGAGGCTTCATATCTTGCTAAATATGAGTATCACATTTAAAATTACAGACAGGCGGATTAGAAATATGTAGACACACTGCGAAGCAGTAACACTGTCACTAATGAGAGCATTTTAAATGGTAAGAGTTGGTTGAATAAAATACTCACGGAAGACAGTTGGTGGGGAAGTTGGTAAAGGATCTGCGCAAGAACCTGGCTGAATGAATATTTCATCTAGGGCTATATCTGGCGTCCAAAGCCTAGAGGCGATAAATCGTATCTACAAAGAAAAACATTCCGATATGCAGTCACTGCATTAAAACTACTGTGCATACAGAAATTCATACATTACTCAAAAGCACTTGCTTTCTATTATTGTTGCCATTTTCATTCTTAACCCTTTAACGGTTTGACCCGGAATATCCGTCACCATCGAGATAGATAAGGCCTGCGCTCTGAAACGAAACTGGCTTGTGACGTCACGGTTAAGGGACCCTCAGCAAACTTTTTGTTGGCTTTTATAAGTTGTAATTTTATTCATTATGTTTAAGAATTGATTTATGTTACTTTGACACGTGAACATCATCCCTTGTAATAATTACTAACACTAGTAATATAAAAATTGTCAGCAAAATTTTGATTATTATTTTAATGGAAACTAATTTATAGAAAAACTGTCCTAAGGGTTAAAAAGCCAACACTTATTTTTATTACATAATATGTAGAATAGCAAATGCAGAGTAAATTTGTTCTTGACAGAGTATGTGTTCTTAAATTTAAATATCATGTTTTTGCAATCATTAAATATCATTTTATCATGATGAAATTAATGCACATGTTTTAGCTAATAGCTTCTGTTCACTTTTAGTATGTATTATATGCATCATTTGTTTAAAATTTGTTACGCAATATAAATTCTTTTGAGAATGATAGAAAAGTTTCTAAAGTAATGTGTAGATTCATATTAAGGTAATTAAATTGCGAAACTGCAAAATGAAATTTAAAAAATGTACAGTTATTGAAGAAGCAGTAGTAAAAAAATTTTTTTTCAGAACGAGGTAACACTTATAGTTAAATAGGTATGATGTAAATTTTGCAAGAAATTTCAGTTTCTAAAAGTTTTTAAGTATTTTCGTATATTTTTAAAATATTTTCAAAAATTGGTATACTTTATTTAAAAAACTTTTTTCGTCTTATTTGGAATTTTATATTGATAGTCTTCAGAGCTAGTAATAAACATTATCTATTTAACTACAGATTCTTTTCGATAATTATGTAGCATTAAGAGGAAAACATTAACTGAATACGATTAACATACAATATGTAAGTAAAAATAATTTTTTTAGTATTTATTACTTCAGAAAAATTTTCTGACTGATATAAGGCATTGAAATGTTAGTCTAAATTAAGTAGTCTTTGCATCGTTTGATGTTTTATAATCCTGCTACATTATATGATAGATATAAAAATATGCAATAATCATAGAATGAGAGAAACAAGTGTTCCCACTGGCAAACATTTTTGTTAAAGTGGGTGAAACAAAAAAATTGATGCGGTGATGAGAATCAACGAGAAACACAAAGACAGGCAGAAATCAAAAGTAAAAATTTTGCAATTGAATTTAAAACCAATTTTTCTTCAAAGAAATGATTTGTTTTAAAAGCACCACACCATTCAAATAATTTTGTTTTGAAAATAATACCAACAGAAGAAAATAAAATATTTCAATCGTATTAGCTTTGTAAAACATTATATTACGTTGTATTTGTTTTAGACTGATTTTAGTATGAGATACAATATAGAATAGGTTTAGAAAAACGGGTGTTTAGCAAGGAAGGTAAACTGCGCAAAGACCGGTCCCCTAGCAGTGACGTAGTAACTCAGCGCGCAGGCCTTATCTATCTCGATGGTGACGAAATATCTCGTACTTTTACGCAGGTTTCTTAACGGTTTCTCCTGTCATTTTAAATATAACCTCGAAAACGGACAGTCCCGTGTTTTTGTTAGACTTAAAATATATGTCAAGAATGGCTAACCCGGACTTTTGTCTGACTTTCATCCTCATATGCCTAAGGGGTTCATCGCTCCAATCCTGACGACAATACGTAACGACCCTCAATAGCGCGGGGAGAACTCTTTTTGATGTTTTAAGATAACCGCCTTACACTAGTTCTAAAGAAACAAGAAATTGGTTACCAGTTAGAAAATTGAATAGAAAAGGAATTAAGAATTTCTGTTTTAGAGTTATAATTAAGAAATAAAAAAGATTTCTATTGAATAAGCTTTTTATTTATAACTCATGAAATGGATTAATAAATTAAAAAGATAAAAGTAATTCAGATACTATTCTGCTATCGGGAGAGAATTAAGAATGCATGTATACACGTATGTACTATGTTTCTATCTGCATATGTGTAAACACATACATACGTTCGCACATATATGCACGCATACGTGAACACATGCATACGTACATACACTTTTGAATCCTTTTCCAATAACAAAAGAGTACCGTAATTTATTAAGTAGATTAATATGAAAAAGCTATTAAATAATATTATTTACTAAATTCATCTACAAATTTATATCATGAATAATAAAGAAATTGGTATATTTATAAAGGTTTATATTTCTGACACTACTATTCTACTATTTTATTTCGTTATTTATGTGCCTACATTTTTATGATAAATTGCACATGAATATTGTAGTGAGGCTTAATTAATATCTTGCTCCCAATAAAATATGTTATAAATTATACTTTGCTTTTGGCTTATTAAGAATTTCATGAGCTTTGAATAAAAGCTTATTTTATAATTTTTTGTCTGTTTAGTCTTAATAACACGTTTTTAATGAAATTTTTAAGTTGAAAAATCATTTTTCAACAATGAATAATCATTTATTTTACTTCCAATAATTCTCTCATCTCCAATAGTCGAAAACATTTTCTGACTTTAGTAATTCGGCCAGAAATCAGAAGTTACTTAAAAAATTTCATAAAAATTTTATTTAAAAGAATGTTTTACACTGAGAAAACATAAAAGTTTTAAGATTTTTGTACTTTGTTGTAAACGAAAATATGTGCAAAAAATCGTATCAACATTAAATTTTGAAAAATTTCAATGAAATTTCATAAACTCGATTTACCATATTGTAGTATCATCCGAAATCAATATGTTCACAAAATTTGAACTCGACAGCGTATCAGAAAATAGTTTAAAAATCTTTGACGACCTTCTATTCATAGCGACAAATACCACGTGTGAACTAAATATGTGGTACTTGTATGCAGAAATATTATTCTCTTTCAAACAGTTCACCAGAAGAATTTTCGCATATTTTTAATTACCTGAGTTGTATATAACTACTTATACTCGCTTATGATATTTACTCTCATTTTGTAAAAATTGTCTTCTTTAAAATATGTATTATTTCGCCACTCCCACACTTAATGATGTTATCACATTCTGATGACTGGAAGATTGTGAAAACCAAGCATTGAGTAGGTACTCATAAAGCTATCTAATAAATGCTATGAAAATACAACTCTTCATATCCGAGTAGAATTTTTTAGTTCCTGATGGAAAGAAATTTGTGTTAAATTGCTCTGGTAATTAGTAGAGTTTTATATTAATTTGAGTTTTTTTGGTCTAATTTTCAGTTGTTTATGTGTGCATTTAAAAGCTTTGCTACTTAAAATGTTAACAGCTTAAAATTATTCTCAGTCAAACTTGATATTTACATGTTTTCACCTTAAGATTTGTTTAAAGAGATAGAATTATAATTGTATTCAATACAAATGGATTTAATGTATTTGGACTACGGTGAAGCACGTGCTTGTTTATCTGCCCAAGAGGAAGGAAGCTTTCTAAAAGCATCTGGCTTATATTCACGTTGCACGTTGCACTTGTATAAAAGCCAACAAAACCTGCATTCAACCAGCTCATTCGCAAGGATTTGAACCCGTGTCGAGCTACCTGTGCTCAGCGATTTTAGCTGCTCTGCCACTGGAGATCCGAAGTCTTATTTAAAATCTTGTTTCGAAATCATCTGTTCTGATTTAGTGTGACAGATGTTGTAGCATGAGGATTAGGGTTATATGAATAGAGCGAAGCACACGAGAGTTATCGGGCTTCGTGGGGCCCATTCTGTGGGAAATTGGGTCATGTTACACATGGAGGAAATCGCAAATACCAAACAGGTAGGTATCCCGTTCGTTTGTTTGGGTTCGATACAAGGTCGAACTGACGGTATTCAACTGTCTTAACCATTTAACCACTGCTAAGGCTGAAAGGGAAAAATAAATATTACCGCAACGTTCTGTATGATATCTAATTATTAATTCTTCCCTGGCTTATGGTCACACACAGGCATCACACATCTGCAACTCTATAACTAACATCAGATCACCGGAACAAAGCTTAACATACTTCAAGCTAATCGTCGGCAACCAGCGGCATTTGGAACTTGATGTCTAACAAATAAGTAATATTTCAATCTTGAACTCAAATTAAGGGTTTTTTTATGCTAATGATTTGTACAACTGTGTCTTAGCACTTCATTTCTTTCAAACAACATTTTGCATTGAAACAAGCAAATGAACTTGAAATAAATTAAAATTGTATTTAGAACCTAAAAAGGGCAATTAAATTAAGTTTTCAAAGACAATTATTTCTTTTCCAAAACTATTAACTATATTAATGTTTATTGCTTATTATTAATTAAAATATTTAAATGAGTTTCCTATTATTTTACGTGTATCCTATGCACGTACTCATTACTAATCTGTAGCCTTATTGACGCGTCCATATTTTAAAACACATTTTCCTATGTGTAGCGTGAATATAAGACCGTTTTCCTTACAAATTCCTCCACGGAAATATCTCTTTCGCTAGGAAGCGCTATAATTCCAAACATCAATTTGTAGGGTTTTATTATTTATTAATCATCTGAAATTATTCAGACTAGGACATTATTCATAACAGGGAAGTGCTACCCAAGATACTACTCAGAACTCGGTACTACTCAGAGCAGAACTAAGAGCACTAGTAGTAGAATAATATAAAGCCTAACTCACATGTTCGGGGAATTTCTTAGCTTCACTTCTACGATTTCAATTAATCTGAACACATGACAATTCAGTAGCATCTAATCAACGCACTATAGACTATTTAATGATGATGAATTCAGTGAAACGTGTTCCAGTATAGTAGAAAATAAATAAGCTAGTTCGGATATCGGTACTATATAATATCGGTTCGGATATCGGTCACTAAGCGATTAAATTTGAATGATAAGTTATGTCAACATTTTGAAAACTGATTATGCGTTAGGCACGCGGAAATTAATTTGAGTTCCCCGTAAAGTCTTGTAGTCTTAGGAAGCATACTGTTGCGTTTTCCCTTTCTGATACCAGTTGTTACGTTATTTTCTTCCTTCACGTTCTTACGAGTTCGTGTGGATTTGGAGTGAATAACGACGACACTTGATGAAGTATCGAAACACACTTTATTTAGCCAATATCAATCAGGACAGCTCCAAAGTCACGTTTACACAGTCGTCGAAGAACTACAATCACGGTGAAGACAGCTTCACGGCAAAGCACTAGAGTACAGCTCTCGACTCTGCTCGGTCGTTCTCGGAACTCCACGTACTCTCGAGACTCACCACGCTACAACTCGCGATGCATTCGACAACACACAGAGCACAGCTCCCGACTCTTCGGTTCAGTCGTTCCCGGAGCTCAACACGTTCTCTCGACGATGCACTCGGCGACCCACTCGGCATTCGCTGCCCGGCTGTCAACTCGATCGACTCCGCAGGGATTGACTCGCTAGACGAGACACCGACTCGATACTAACTATCTCGCTCCCTATGCGAGGCACACACTCTCGCCCTCTCGACGAGGCACACTCTAACTGACTGCGGACCATCAGGGTTTATATAGCTTTTGACTGATGTTCCAGAACATTCTGGGCTAAACCGGTAAAAATTCGTTCCAGAAGGTTTTCCATCCGTGCATGGCATATCGCCATTTTTGTCGCCAAATGGGCGATTTCTCAACAAATGTGGCAATTTGGCCTTACCTTGCCATTTTATGGCAACCCTAAAACTGCTTTGCGGGGAAGCTATCTTACCGCGCCTGGACATTTCGTAACAATACAATATCGAATTTCAAAAAAGACTCAAAGACTCTAAAAGAATTATCATCTGGTCTTGTGAAGCAAACCAAAAGTCAGAAGAAGGGTTTATAAGACTCTTTTATTTGAATACAAATGAGTAACAATAACCTAATTTGGGTTTACACGAATCAATACTTCTGGCTTAACTTAAATACGTAATGTGAACTAAATCAAATGTAACATATTAGCCTAAAGGCTCACAGGATAAGGTAACGCACAGGAAAGGCTCTGGTTTGTAGACAACCGACGAGACAAGCTTAATGGCTAGAAGCACTTAACGCCACAGAATCAAATCGCTAATAAGTCACGGTACAAGGTGGTCTGAAGTGAGAACATTAACTTCTAAAATTAACTTGGGTAACCTTCGCTTAAATAGCACTTCTGTCTCCCTGAATCTGAATAAACTCTCGCTATCTCATAGCTCTATATTAGGATGTAAGGATTTATCTGTTTATTTGTTAAAAATAAACAGATAAATCCTTACATCCTAATATAGAGCACAGGAGGTGTAACACATTCCCAAAGTGAATGCATACTTTATCCATGATAGGTAATATAACTTTAATGGCCCAAAAGGTTCGGAGATTTCATTAAGGATGTTTCTAACGTCAGTATCTCATTTTGACAGCACTGTTAATTAAACAAAGTCTCTGAATTTTTTCTTTAAAAAATAAATATTAACATTTTGTTTTATTTCTTATTTCTATGGCAATCTGCAGAAATTGTGAATTGATACTGAAAGATATATAATGCAATTAAATTCTATATTCCATAAATATTAAAACGTATGCAACAAAATATTTTAAATACAATCTTTGGTCAAATTCTTTATTTGATACTGAGAATAGGATGTCACATTTTTAGAAAAACTGCAGTAAAATACCGATGGGATGTGTGATTGATTGGACCGTTTTTCGATCATTAAAATGATGCTTGAATGATTAATGACATTGAAGACCAATAAAATGGTCACTCCCAGGGACCATTAAAATAATGAAACATTCACAATAAATACAGATATTTGTTACCTTATATGCTGGTGGTAAATCTCTAACGGGTCTCTTTACTTGGTACCAATTTTTTCCTTGATTCCCAGATATTATCATCACTTTGTAAATCTTACTGTCTGTGTGGTTGACGAATACCACTTCCAGTGATCCTGTAAGAGATAAATACATTACAGTACAAAGTGAATCTGTTCAGAATTCTAAATTTTAAAATAGATTTACGTTTAAATAAATACTACATTTAGTAAATATGTTTTAATTCAGCTCAAATGCTATCTTGGAAGAAGCTTACTTTGTTTACAGGGTTGAGTTATATATATCTGATTTCATATTTTTTATTTTTATTCCAAATGTTTCAGGTATGTTCCATAAAGAAGACAAAGGAGAGTTTTAAATTATTATATGCATTATTTTGCGACTATTATATGCGTCGATATACATACAGGGTGTACCGTAAGTTTTGCGACAAACTTCTGAGGGAGGTAGGGCCCATTATAAGGATTAGGAATTGCATAGGAATCTATACCCGAAAATGTCAGGGGTAAGTGGTAGAAGAGGTAAAAGATGGTAAAAGAAGCAGAGAGTGATTAATTTGAAACCTATCCAGTCAATACAGTCGAAATTTGTTACACTCAGCATTCTGCATAGAGACCTTCGAGTTGAAGCAATACCATCTCTTCTCCTAGCTACAGCGCAAAAGACTTTCAAGAGTATTAACAGCTCTGACTTTAGTGAAATTCGTGATATTCTGGACTATGATGTGTTTGCAGAACAGCCATCCAAACACCCAAGTCCATTTTTCATGATCCATCATGGTAAATTTTACAACAGCCATTTCATTTTCCATTTTCATTTCATCATTCCATTTTCGATATCCAGTCAGAGATCAAATGTGTTACCGGTCAAATTTGAAATCCAGCATTCTATATAACGGCTAGGCAATGTATATTTAGCCGACAATGTGTGAAACGCTTCATATTTCACACATTTCCTAGGCATTCTATAGAATGACAAACCGGCAAAGTAGGAAATACACTTCCAATTCGTTTCGAAGAACCAAAATACTAATTAGAAGTTAATAAATGATGTAAAAAGGCAAAAAATGATTATTAATAGGGAAACACGATACTACTGGCTGCTGAATCGCTAGGATGTGATGTTTGTGGAAAACAAAAGTACATTCCTTTATTCTGTTAAAGAATGCATGAGTACGAGGCGTATTCGGAAACTAAGTACCGTTTTGAAAAAAAAAAAAAAAAAAAAAAAAAAAAAAAAAAAAAAAAGCAGTAAAACAATTTTTTCGAATCCAATTTTATTTTTACATGAAAATACATGTCTTAAACTATTTTTCAACATAGTTTCCGCCAATGATCAAACACCTGTCATAGCGGGTGACCAGTTTTTATATACCATCGTCAAAGAAACTTCCCGCCAGTTTCGATAACCACGACTCCACAGCATTTTTCGTGTCATCGTCAGATCCAAAGGCTTGCCACCAAGCTCGCGCTTCATGTGCAGGAAAAGTGATAGCGGACGGCGCCAGTCCGGGCTGTACGGCGGGTGATCGAACTGCTCCCAATGAAACTGTCGAATTAACGATGAGTACACAGCAGTATGGGGCCCTTGTCATGGAGCAACACAATTCCTAACTGAGCATTCCTCTTCGTTGTTTGAATGGCACGCCTTAGTTTTGTTAAAGTCTCACAATACGTGCCGCATTAATGGTTCACCTCTGGAAGAATTCAGTAAGCAAACGCCTTTCCTATCCAGAAGACAGTGCCCCATGTTTTGAATGACATTGCACTTTGAACTTTTGTTTTTTCGGAGAATGGGGTCTCCTCCTCGATTGTTGTTTCGATTCTGGTGTGAGGACACACCCAGTTTCATCACCTGTCACAATTTGGTTTAAAAGTTTTCTCCCTCACACGTACCGCGTGAAAGTCAGGCACTACCAAGTCGCTCTGTTTTGTGACATCATTATTTTTTGGAACCCATCGGAACACAGTTTGCGATAATTAAGCGGTCAGACACAATTTCGAACAAAAAGTACGTGAAATTTGTTGGAAAGCCTCTAAAAGAGTTGTCGTTGTGAAGCGTCTGTTTCAGATTGCTTCATCAACTTTCCTTATCAAATCATCGGTGACAAATGTCCACGCCACTCCGAGCCTCGGCGTGACACATTTGTTGACCTGCATTAAACACTCTTACCCCTTTCTACCTTCCATCACTTATCGCTATACCATAACTTTTTGTGACGTGACGATAATTCGGCCGGTTAACATCCTTGCGTTAAAAATTTAATCAGGGCACGAACTCCCAGTCAGGGGGGAAAACTAATTGTCTTAAACATTTTGAATTGCACAGCAACTGAAAACACAACATAGAGCAACCAAAATGGCGACAATTGAAAGTCAGTGAACAAGAAAGACTAGTGCGCATGCGCGGGACGCCTACCACACAGCTGCGACGGCGCTAGAATGAAACGGTACTTAGTTTCCGAATACGCTACGTACTATACAGTAATTATGTCACGGGCGCTGAGTTATTTACTGTACTTCATGAAAACTCATTGGGATACTGGACATAGACGACGTGACAGAATGTTGAAAGAGTCTTCAACCAAATACAAAAACGTTACACGTACAACGACCTTTATGAACCCTGCTAGAAAAAACAGTAAAAGTATTAAAAGGAGCATTGTTGTGAACATGAGATTGTTTCTGAATTTAATTTCCGTTATCAGGTAAATCTTACTGATTCCCAATCTCAGCCAGATAGAAATACACAAATTTATGATGTCGTTTCAAAGAGCATCTCACTATTTTTTTTACATAATTCGAATAACAGTTTTTTAATGAAAATCTTTCATTAATTGTTCAAAATAACATTTGTATTTTAGAGGAATGAACGTCTTTTAAATAATAGCCTTATCATAACCTTTTTTTTTCATATACTTTGCCTAAAGAGCATTTGTCATTCTATAGAATGCCTAGATATTATACAATGCCTAGGTAAAGTATGTAAAAATTCTTTTATTTCATACTTTGCCTAAAGAGCATTTGTCATTCTATAGAATACCTATGTGTTATATACAATGCCTAGGTAAAGTATGTAATAATTCTCCTATTTCATACTTTGCCTAAAATCGTCCGGCATTATATACAATGCCTAGACGTTCTATAGAATGCCGGCGTTTCATACTTTGCCGGTAATATATACATCTAAATAAAAATTAGAAATATTCAAACAGCATAAAAAGGAATTTTAGCTCACCATCTCCTGCCATGTGGTACCAAAACTTAAAGCAGGCATTTGGAGCGTAATGAAGAATTTCACTTTCCAGAACCGCTTTAAGCCCAGCGACACCAGTTCGTCCATCCGCGTAAATATAATAACCTGCAATTCCAGAAGAAAAAAAAATTCACTAGGCAATACGTGCTGCTATGACATAATATTTAGGCTTAGGAATTACAAACATTTTCAGAATTACATTCTAGTTTCAAAGGAGATGTATTTTTCAAAATTACATTCTGAAAAATATATCTCCTTTGAAACTATTTCATTTTATTATAGTATAGGTTCAAGTAAGCAAAACTGGAAAAATGCTTCTTACTAAAGTTGCAAGCATAAAATTATAGATGGAAAAGCATAAAGTGAATTTGAATTTTAAATGCCGCAAATCGGATTAGAAAAATTCTGTTTGTTTTGAATGAATCACATACAGATTCTCCCGCAAAGAGCTAAAAAATTTATGCATCTTCATGAAAGAGCGAAAATATTATTTCACAGTCTGCAAGAGATACGCCATAAAGGAAATGAATGAAATAAACATAAACAATGAAATTAAAAAGAATTGAAGTGTTACAAAATATGAAATCGATAATAAAACAAAATTCAAATTCAAATTAGGCCTTCCACATGCCCATATTCTATGGAAGATTACGTTATTCTAATTTTGATGGCTCTGGGTACCGTTGTTTTATCACAATGCGAGAAACATACACACTGGTACGAAATGTACAGACGCGGTAAGATAACTTTCCAGCAAAGCAATTTTAGGGTTCCCATAAAATGTCGAGGGAAGGCAGGGCTGTCACATTTGGTGACAAAATTGGCAATATGCCATGGACGGATGGAAAACCTTCTGGAACGAATTCTTACCGGTTTAGCCCAGAATATTCTCGGACACAAGGCAAAAGCTATATAAATGCTGCTGGTACGCGGAGAGTTAGTTAGTATCGAGTTAGTGTCTCGAGTTAGTCGGTCCGTGCGGAGTCCATCGAGTTGACAGCCGGGCAGCGAGTGCCGAGTGGGTGTCGAGGCATCGAAAGAGTCTCTTAGTGTATCGCTTAGTTACCTCGTCGAGAGAGGTGTTGCTCGAGACGGTGAGCGGAAGTGGGAGATGTGCTCTGTGTCTCGTCGAGAGCATCGCGAGTTGCAGAGTGGAGAGTGTCGAGAGTAGTGGAGTTCCGAGAACGACCCGACAGAGTCGGGAGCTTCAATCTGGTGCTTTGCAGTGAAGCTGTCTCCATCGTTATAGCCTGATAAGCTGAAAGCTGTGTCGCTGATCGTGTCAGCGTGTTTATAACAGTTCGATGACAGTAAAAGTGTTTTGAAGCTGTCCTGAGAATACTGGCCAACAAAGTGTGTTTTGATACTTCATCAAGTGTCGTCTTTATTCACTCTAAATCCGCACGAACTCCGTAATGTATGAACGTAAAGGAAAAGAAAATTACGTAACAATACATTCATACAGATTCTTCATTATTTGATTTCTTTAAATGTAATACAGGGCAATAATATTTGGTGGCAACAATTTGAAAAGTGAAACAGTGCAAAATCGACGCAAAATGCCCAAACTAAATAAATTAATAGTCCTTTTGGGCAAATTGCTCCTTTGGAATAATAAACAACAAAATAAAAGGAAGCAAAAGATTTATGCTTTCTACTGCGGGAATGAAAGAGTGAAAATCACGAGATAAGGCTTTTAAACGCACATGATGCGTTAGGACTTGAATTAAAAGATCCTGAACTAAGTTGTGTAGGATCCTATTGGAAGCGGAAGCATGGGAACTGGACATCCAGCGTTACTTCACCGCCCTTTACATGAAACATATCTTGACAATACAAGAAATTTCTCTTACGTAATTTACTACATTTTATTAATGGAGAGCTGATAACCCAGAGCAATATTTTTTTCTTCCCTACAGATAATAATAAATATGCTTCTACATTCTAACTGTGATTATTGTGTTCGTAGTTCCTGTCAACTCTTAGGTAACAAACTTTGCTTCTACTTTAAAACGGAGGATATTTAGATGATTTTCATCTTTATTTGCAGAAATCTTTTACAAAAACTTTTTGTATTATAAATGATCTATTTGATAACGCTTAATCTTCACTGTCTTCCTACAGCGTAATTTTCAACGCCTTTTGTAGTATCGGAAGAGGAATTTTTTCCCATTCCTCTTGAACAGCTTCTCAGAGTCCAATGAGGACGCTTTTTAAAGCTCGAGTTTGGACGCTTTTTAAATTGGTTCGCTTTTGAATGTCCGTTGGCTCGCTTTTAAAAGGTTAAAGTTAATTCGCATTTAATGGTTAATTCGCTTTTCAAATGGTTAAAGTTAATTCGCTTTTAAATGTTTAAAGTTAATTCGTTTTTAATGATCAAAATCGTAAAAACAACCTTGTATTTAGCGTAAGTATATTGAAACACTCAATCGATTTCGAGGGCAGCTAAAGGTCCCTCCTCATCAGGAGAAAGAAATACCTAGATAGAAGAAAAATAAAGGGAAAGAGTCTCAGAAACACGTGGTCCTTATAAGCACTGCACGTGGTTAAACCAGATTTTTAATCAGGTTACACTGGCCGCTACTTTTACTGAGCCAGGCTATCTGATTCAAACATTAATACGAAGGACATGTAAAAGTAGGCGGGCCAGGTAACTTGATTAAAATCGGTTAACCACGTGCAATGTTAAAGGATCACGTGTTTTGAGACTCTTTCCCTTTATTTTTCTTCTCTAGGTATTTCTTATATGATGCTGCCCTCGAGATTGAGGTGCAATATACCTGTTTTTACGATTTTGATTGTCAAATTAGCGTGTTTCTCTTCTAGTCTCGTTTTTAATGGTTCGCTTTTTAATTGTCCATTGGTTCACGTTTTAAATATCCATTGGTTCGCTTTTTAAATGTCCAAAAGCACAAAACAAATCCATGGGTGATACATCAGGAGATTTAGTAGCGATATGAGCGAAGGATATAGCCTCGACATTCGTTTCTTGTACCATTTTTTCCAGGAAATTAACAATGGATTTTGAAGTGTGCCTGCTTGCTTTGTCTTGATGCAGTTCTACTGACTGATGGCATGTTGGGTAAATAGATTCAATTTTATATCTAAAATTAGGTGTAAAATATGTTCCTGCTAATATGTAGAGTTGATCGTAACATTTCTCTCCACTATATTTTTATTTTGCTGTCATATGAAAAGAAAACAAAAGCAACAATCATAAATTTCCTTAAGAAACTTTATCTTATTCTTAGTACCAAGTTTTAAGATTTTTTTTCCTCTTTGATCATAATAAATGGATATCCTTTTTATTGCATTATTTAAAAACACCCAAGATTTATCTACTGTGAGAAGTCTTTTATTTTTATTGGGATAAATGTTTCTCATAAAGAATTCTTCAGCGCGTTCACCGATATGTCGTGGAGAAAGGAGATGTCCATTATATTTTTTCGCCTTTTTAAGATTCAAATCAGCATTAATCGCTTTGTTTACAGTGTACACTGAGCATTTAAATGATTTTGCAACTGTCCTTTTACTTTATCTTATCTTACAACATTCAAAACATTGGATATTTTCCTTGGATATGTACCTGGAACAATTTTCCCACTTGAAGCCAAATTTTGACGCTTCTTTTTTCCTTTCCTTGTTAACTATATTACCTGTCATAGCCTTAGATGTCGAAATACCATGGCTTTTACAGTGTTGTTTAATAAACAGATATTAATATTTTTTTCGGAAAAAGCACAAACATTGCCTTCCATGTTCCATTACTTCTCTAAAAGCGCCATTTTGCATGATGTCAAGTAGCAGAAGATAATTTACAAAAATATAGTTGCTGCTAAAAAGTATTCCAAACAGATGACACTTTTTATAGCAAACCAAAATCGTCAAAAAATGTGCGAACAGCATCTTTAGTTTCACCAGTGCTTTAGGTAGCGCTGCAATCATTTCTTTTTCTTTAATTTCTTTTTTGTGTTTTAAGTAGCTTCTCTCGTACTATGAAGCTTATCATTCATTTACATCTCTCTTTGAGAGCAATTCTAATCTCCTAAGCTATATGGCAAAAGGATTTTGTCAATAACATTGCAAGTTTTCCTGGATTTAATACCATAAAACTCAATGACATCTTTTATTCCTGTTAGATCTTTACACTTTGTTATTAAATGTTTTATAAAACATTTCATTGGTTTTAAAATACACCACTACAACTTAGCTAAATGCTATAATTTATTATCTAAGCCATAATTAGGTTAATGAAAAACAAAGATTATCTTCCTATTTCGCTTCTTGGCTAAGAAATCGATCGGAGAACTTTTCAACGCTTATACAGGCAACTCTTGGCCATAGGCTCGTTCGGCGGTGTGCGTTGAGTGAAGAAAGGTTACACCGTTATTATCTCGAGCGGGTCCAGGCCTTAAATAAAGCTAGTTTTTCACAATGTGTAACATGCGCACGATGGTTCTTGTGACAGAACATACCGCATTTACACTTTTAGGCAAAAATTTACACTTTTAGGCATTACAAATTAAGGCGTCTAGGCAATCCTGGACTAGGCTGCGGTAACATGTGACAGATTATTTAATACGCACAAATATCATGTGTGGGCCATAATTAAATATGCATACTACACGTTTTATATGACGCCAAAAATGTTCTTAGTGAATGTGTGAGCAAGAAATATCCACGATCACTTAATTGGCCCCTGGATTTTATCAGATTGCCTAGACGGACAGAAGTACGACATCTTCCTTCAGCGGATCCTGCTGGATTTACTGAAAAACGCACCAGCATATCTTCGAAAAATACTGAGTTTTAGTGCAATGGAACACCATTAAATTTCTTTAAGCTTGTAAGAAACTATCTGGATATTGTCTTTCCGAACAGATGGAATGGCTACGATGGAACTCTCTCTTTGTCTACATTATGCTGTGGGCACAGCTAAAATCTTCTTTTACGAGATGCCCATGGAGACTTTAGACGATCTTGTCGCCCGATTGAGCATCGTAGCTTGCAGACGTTCGTGAAATGTCAGGAATAGTCCAACGTATGTGTGATTCGCTCCGTCTCCGATGGGGCGTTTGTATTGCGGCTGATAACCTTGGACATTTGTTGCAAAATTTTCAGTCATAAAGATTCTTTGTGTTTTAATCATTTACCTGTATTGTGTTCTCCATCTTCACCAAGCATGTGCTCTCTCGGCCTGGCCTCTGTTTTTCGACCCCACCTTAAATGATGAAGGTTTTTTCTTTTGAAGCATTCTAACATTCCTTACATTTGTGACCAATAGTTTTGTTACGATATAATACAGGTATATGTATAAATTTCACTTTATGAAATAGTTATGCGTAACGAATTTCAAATTCCACTTGATAATGAACTTTACTTTTTGATTGGTTAGAAGAAACACCCTCTATAGCCTCGTTATCAAAGTTTTCTGTACTTTTTTCTTTTAACATTCGATGCATTTAGACATTATCAGATAACTTATGGCACTTAAACAAAAATTCTAACCAGCAGATTGATTTCTTTTCTAGTTTATATTTTAATTATTATACGCGATTCCACACATGAAATTGGTGACTCACCTTCTGTAGTGCCTGTTGTAACGTCAACCGAAGGTCCTTTGGCAGTAGGCCCCGAATTTCGAATCCACCGTAGACCTGAGCTAACAGGAGGATCTAAATTCTTCCACGTGCAAAAATCTCTCTCAAAATTGCAACTGCCATATGGAGGACAAACTCCATCTTCTATAGCAACATCGTCTACTGCAACAATTGTACTTTCATTCTTCTTAGATCCGGAAATGACGATCTAAACAAATATGAAGTGCTTGTTAGTGATGGTAAGAAATACATTGGTTATATCAAGAATATCCGAGGAAAATTATTTTGGGATTAAACTCTGTGGGGCTAAAGAAAAAGCATCATCTTGTAAGAGATGCATCCAGACATGCATTACAAAGAGGGCAAATAAAAGTTTAAGCTTTAAAAATTATAATGAATATTTGTGTACTTCCTAATGCATACTAAACGCCAATGCAGATAGCAAGCTTAGAACCTGCTAAATGATGGCAAGAAATTATTCAAGATGTGATTTTTATTTCAAATCTCTCTTGGAGTTTCATCTCTCTGTTTCTTTCCTTCTGTAGATTTGCACTGCCCCTCAGAATGAAAGTTATGCGTTTTTGAATTTTAAGAAATTGCCGTATATTTCATAAAAACCATATTTACAGAACAAAATAAAAAATAAAAAAAAGGGGGGCTATCGTGATTTCGCAAAAGAAACGAGAATGAGTTAAAAATTTTTAGATATTGGTATGTGGAACTTGTAGGGTTCGCCTAGTTTTCTAAGGAGTTTTTGATTTAAGCATCTTCTTCTAAATTCTTTTATTTTCCCCTCGCATTTCTACGCCAGAATACGAATTAAGAAGGTGAACGAGAGTATTTAAACAAGTGAAAGGAGAAAGTTTTACACAGCGTGATTTCGCTAGTGTAGCACACGTTTGCTATTTTGTCCTCTAGCTTTTAATCGTAGTAGCGGCTACGCCTTCTGGCGGTTTAGTTAATCGCCGGTGTAGGTTGCTGCGTCAGCCTATTAGATTAAATTAAATTGTGTAGCCTAGCACTAGCTCTTAGCTTTTGAATTCATTGTTAACCTTTAAGAGACGGGGCAGTTTGGAAAGGTTTCACTTAAAAAGACGGGAAAATCCAAGTGCATTTCCACCCCCCTTTTATCTTAAGCCCTTTTATCTTATCCCTTTTATCTGTTTTTAAAGTAAAGGAAAATAATTTTAAAAAAAAAACGCTAAAGGATAAAAGCATTTTATCCTTTAGCGTTTTTTTTAATTATTTTCCTTTACTTTAAAAACAGAGATTTTATTCATTATATTTTCATTGCATTGCACTCCATCGCATTTTGCATGTTTCATACAGCAATATTAAATACAAATTTACAATAAAAATTGGAAATATAAAGGAAAAATACATTTTTAATGACATTGAAAAGTTGGTGAAATTAATACTAATGTAACACTGCTAAGATTTCACTGCTGAGGGAAACGAAAGGGAGTTTACGAAACCCCACAGTTGGGAGGCACGAGGGTCATCTCGCATAAGTGGCAAGGGAGATTATTCGGACAATGACTATCTCAGCAACCTGAAGGATGGGGGGAGGGGAATTCGCTAGCCGATATTTCGGCCACAGCCGTCTTTTTGAGACACTGCAGCTCTGGCCGATTCTTACGCCACCCGTCTTTTAAAGGTTAAATTATTTTTAAGTTCTTACCGCAAGTGGTGGGTGCTATTGTGATCATGAAGTCACTGCCTTTCTGTTATACAGTTGTGCTTAGCAAAAAGGTCTTTTTACACACTTTCCGGTTTGTATTCACCTTCATGTCTATGCGAGAATTCCCCGAGTTCAACTTTGAGATCTAGACACATTGCATGATAGCTAAAAAAAGTAGATCTTACAAATTTCAAATTATTCTTCAGTAACAGAGTACATATTGTTACGAGTTTTGTTTATAAGTAATTTTAATGAAATTATATGTGAAACTGTATTATCTTTTGTATAATATAACATGAAAAGTCTGAAGAAAACGAAGTTTTTTCCAGAAAAATAAGATTACAAGGGCAAGTCCATTTAACATTGAGGTAAATGACTATCTGGCTAAATTGGCGACATATATCCAAGATGGCGACGGTCTTGGTGACTAATTTTCGTCGCGAAATTTGACGAGAAATCGCCTAAAGTCCTTAAACTTGGCGACCATTTGGAGACATTTTTGTTCAGTCCCTGCATAACTATAATTGGTATTGTAACTGAATAACTGTAGTTGATCCCTATGTGTAACTGTAAACGCATCCGGTCCCTATATGTAACTTTAACCATGTATGTCTTCCAGTAATTTCGAGAAATGGATGACACTAGAGATTTCTCAGCAGTCGAGCGAAAACTGTAGAAACCCGGAGATAGCATTAGTTTTTCAATTTTTCAGTTATGAGTAGATTTCAGATTACTGAGATCTTCATGCGAGCTTTGCTGTTTAGATGCGCTTTGTAGTGCAATGTGTTTAATGTTCTTACCGTTTTGAGGTGTAACTACTGATTGCTCTCTGTGATACTGAAAAAAGTTGTACGAATATTTTGCATCTTAATAACTTCTTATATCCATGTTACCACTAACTTCAAGAGTAAATGTTCTCTGTAAATTCAGAATCACAATGCATACAGCATGCTAAAATCCTCATTCAGCGCAGTCTTGACATATTCTCCTTAACAACCACTGTACTGTTCACAAATACCCATCTTCCGAAGTAACTACGTAAATTCCGCTAGAAGTTTTAATGATCCATAGAAATTTTCAGCTGGGCTTTAGTGACAACAAAATGCTCCACCAGTTGAGTACCAATCCTGATAGTCATCTAACAGGCGGCACAGCAACTCAACTGGTCGTAAGTAAGTTAACATATTTTCATATTTTCATGTAGCTAGATTTTATTGCATTTGAAAACACTTATTTGCAATCCTTATGATTTGTTTGTGTGCTAAGTAGAAAATCATTTATGGTAAGTATTAATACTAGAACGGGAGACTTATACACATTCAATGATAAGTAGCTGACATGTAGACAACACCGATTAGAATGAAGACAAAGCCAACCAGAAGATCGCATTTGGCAGCGGATATGATAAGTTGTGACGTCATACCGTGACGTTTCATGGCTTCATTTTCATTGCATATGGAGCAGACTTACTAATAAAATACTCTGAACTTCCATGGCTCCAGTGCGTTGCTATTTTGTAAAGCATAAGATTAACTAACTTTCAAATTTAATATGGTTTTACAGATTAAAAGACAAAGCGATTAATAAAAAATAATAAATTCAGTTCTTTAAATTATGAATAATAAAAATAATGAATGACTTACGCTATAATCTCCGCTACTGAGCTGTGTAATGCTAGCTTTGGAATGTTCCCATTGGCCATTGACATTTGGTTCACCTGTGGCTGTCCACACTACCCTTTCACCATCATTAGAAGTAAGTTCAGATTTCATGATTTGCAGTTTCGTACTCCGATCGCCCTCGATAAAATACCAGAAGTTGAGGCAATAGTCGTTCTTTGTGTAATTATAATCCGGGCTTATTAATCTGCCAGAAGTTCCATTTAATGCAGCGTACTTCCCTGAATGAAAAAAATATTAATATACTGGGTGTTTCAGCAAAACGGTTACAGACTTTCAGGAAGGATAGAGATCACCTAAACGAGAAAAATCACATAGCAGGTGCATGGTTGAAAAGATTTCCTGGGACGGTAGTGACAACACAAAACACAGACAAGGATGTACATGAACAGGGTGGAGAAACATTATTGTGTTCCCCCACCCTGTTATGCGTATTATGTTCCGGACTTCCGCAGCAACAGCCACGATACGTGCAACAAGTTCCTGAGAACTTCTACCCGGGGTTTGGTACACCAGTGTCTTGACTTACCCCAGAGGAATGCAATTTCATGTTTGTCTTGTGGATAATTGCGACACAGTGTGCAAATTTCTATGGACGCACATAATGAGGTGCGCTAACTGTTAAGAACACGAAGTTATGATGTATCAAAGTGGACAAGTAGTATTTACTTGAACGATGAACTTAACAAAAGTGAACATAGAATAGCCTACACAACATCATATACTTTGGGCGATGGAACTATCAATTGCCTGAACTGATGTGACTGGCTTACTCTGTGGATAACTGCAAAAATAATACGGACACACATCATTAGGTGTGTAACTGATAAGAACATGAAATTATGATGTATTGAAGATGACATAGGTTTAAAAACTCGTTAATATATAAGTTCCACTCTCCACAACATAGATCCTATCCATGACCATGTAATTATTAATTGATCGTATATTTATTTTCATACGGATTATTATGTAACAATTATTGTATAGATGACACTGTCAATTTAGCATTGTAATATTACTATCATTGATTCAGTGAATGCCGCTGGCGGTGGATTGTAGATTCTTTTCCGTCGCATGGACATATAACTCTGATTGGTAGAACCTTAGGTCGGAGGTCCATGCAACTGCGTATCAGTCAATGCAAGCATGGTCTGGCGATCTTGTTGTTGTTACTTATGCTCACTTGTCTGACAGTAACATCAGCCCAAGCCCACGAAATTCCTCGTGAAGGAAGTGCAAGATTACGCCTGTCGTTGGCAACAGCCTTGAGCACTATGAGGCAGTGTGATTTACCCAGTTCCGCCTCCAATTTTGATAGAGAACACCCCGGGAGGACGGGATCTAGGGACTCCTATTTCTCTCCGCTTCCACGAAACCACGCGAGAGGACTTTTGGGCTCGCCGCATATTTAGGGTGCCGCAACGACACTATACATTTACAAACATCCATGCCTTCTCCGAGATTCTAACCCGGGTCCTTCGGCACAGTAATCAGCGTCGCTAACCATATAGCAGTTGGGAGGCACTGGCAATCTTCCTGTTCAATATACCGGACCACCCCTGCCGATCCCATGTTGAAGATATGACGCAATTTCAAACATTTTCTTTGATGGCAATCGTCTGTTTTTGTTCTTAATCATTGGTTTCCGCTGCACTAAGCATAATAAACATATATTCTCATCCTGTTAGGGTCCTTCCTTTCTTGTGTTTTGTATCGTTACTATCGCTCCAGGTAAGAGCTTCCGACCATGCATTGCTGTGTGTTTTTCCATCCTCTAGGTGTACTCTATCTCTCTCTTGAAAGTCTGTAACCGATTTCTTGAAACACCCGCATAAATAAGCACTTAAAGTATATCTTTATTATTTGCATAAGAGATATCTGAAACTAGAACTACTAGGTCACTTGTTTTTCTAGACGAAATAAAATCAAGGTAGTTAATTTATTCGAAGCTTTTAATTTTTTCTTAACTAGAAGGGTATAAAAAGCAGTATAGAAAAGTATGTGTTTTTTAGGAAGGTAATAAATTAATTTAATTTAATACAGCAAACTAATTTTTAACCCACTGACCTACCCGGATTTGGCTATGAAAGCCCAAACTTCCCAAAACTGTCACAAGAAAGTTATATTCTGGATTTTAATGCCAAACCATTGGTAATTTACATCTGGATTTATGTACTTTTAATATATTGCCTTAATTTCTTGGACATATTTCGATACGCATGTTTATGTACTTTCTTAAAGACGCCATAAAAGTATTTCAAGCCTTGCCAGGTTATATATACGGCCTTGTAGGTTTAATTTAAACATTAAAAATCCTACAGGTCTTAAACGTAAAACAATTAATATATTATATTGTTCCTTTTATCATTATGATATATAAATAAATCAACGAGTAAATAAAACTTTAAAAATAAATAAATAAAAGTTCTCTTAAATTCTAGCTACACAGAAATAGATTATGTGTTTCCTGTTTGCGTAAATAAAAATAAATTTCACTGTTTCAGTTGAAATATAAAGAAGCTACGCGTTTCGATAAACAATAATGTTTATTTTTGTAGAAAAACGATTCTTTTATATGCTGTTTCACACAAAAAAATATTTTTATATTTTACATTATTTTTGTTAAAATATTTGGTATCTGGATAACATCAATTTATAAAGGATAAATTCTTTAATAAAATCAAAATGTATATATAATATTAGAATGATATCAATCCTTGCGATGAACGGAGCAAACTTTCAGAAAGGAAGGAAAAACGTTCACTGCTTTTGTTGCAGTCCCGAAGAGCATGCGCCAGGAGGAGAAATCGAGGCATGACGTGAGCGCTGAAGAAATTTGGGGAAAAAGGTAAAACCCCACAAATACACTGGTGTGCAAAAATTAAGGACGAAGTCGAAAAATTAGCATATCAGCTGAACGAAGAGGCAGAGCGAACAGAAAAACCAATCAGGAGATTAAGTAAGGTGATGTACGGTAGCACATGCGCCGATATGCAGGTAGACGTAATGGGGGGAGTGTCTGAGTAGTATAAAGCATGTTGTCGGTGTAAGATCATGTAAGATCAGTATTTCTGGCAAAGAGATTGCACGCCGTATAGGAGTTAAAATCACACCGAGTTGCTGCCTCAGCGAGAAATGGCGAATAATCAATCTGTTAGACGACATCTGGATGCTTTTATCCGAGGTCGAATCATTGGGAAGTTGGAGGAAGGCCGCAGTGTGACAAGTGTGGCTGAAGAGTTCGGAATTGCTCACAGCATCGTTTCACGACTTTGGAGACAATTTCAAACTACAGGAACAGCTATCCGGGGGTTTAGTAGTGGTCGTCCACGAGGAACCACACTCGCAGATGACCGATATTGCTTTACAGGTCAGAAGAAACAGGCGGCAGACAGCAGGAGAAATCCCTAGACACACGACACAGGCGACTGGACGACCGATATCGCGTTTTACCGTGGCCAGAAGACTGCACGGTGGTGATCTGTTTGCACGACGCCCTGTACGGTGTGTACCTCTAACGCCTGCCCATCGGAGAAGGCGTTCTCTGTGGTGCCGGGAACACCGGAATTGGAGAGACAATGAATGGGGACGAGTACTCTTTACGGATGAGAGCAGATTCAGTCTGAGTAGGGATTCTCATCGCATACTCATCTGGAGAGAGCGGGGAAGCCGCAATCATCCCTCGAACATCATTGAAAGGGACAGGTATGGAGGTGGCGGTGTTCTCGTTTGGGGAGGCATCATGCTTGGTAGTCGTACAGACCTTCACATCTTCGACGCAGGTTCAGTCAACGGGACCCGTTATTGTTAAGAGATTCTTCTTCCATACGTGCGTCTTTTTAGAGGCGCTATGGGTCCGCAGTTCCTTTTCATGGACGACAATGCACCATGTCATCGCACAGTAGCTGCCGAACAGCTCTTAGAGAATCAGGATATTGAACGTATGGATTGGCCGGCACGATATCCGGATCTCATTCCCATCGAGCATGTATGGGATTTTCTATGCAGACGCTTGGCAGCTCGTACCTTACCACCAGTAACGATTCCGGAGCTTCGATTGGCGCTGCAAGGCGAAAGGGCAGCAATGCCTCAACAACTCATTGACACCCTCATTCTCAGCATGGGCAGACGCTGTGAAACCTGTCTAGCAGTCAGGGAAGATCATATCCCCTATTAAAGACCGAATGTTTCTTGCTGGACACCCATCACAGGGATGTTTCGGTCTTCAGTCGGATTGCGCTCCATGCTACTTTTTCAATAAAGCTTCTTTTTATCCCTCTGATTTCTCTTTTAGTAAGTGTTGCTTACATTACTCATGTCCTTACGTATTGGGGATCTTAAGGCATTAAATGTGTTGATTTGGAAAGCTTTTGTACAAAGTTATATTGAAAAAACCGTCTCGTCCTTAATTTTTGCACACCAGTATATATTGTGATAAATAAGCAGAAAGAAAATCAATAAAATGCCCTAAATTATTTTACAATAAAAAATATTTGGCCTAAAAATAAATTCAAATTAAAAATAAATAGGGTTGAAAATAAATTCAAATTGTTTTGATTCAAGTCTTCTTTAATCTAGATATTTAGTATATATTTAATCTAGATATGTTTTATATTTTAATATCTTTTATTTAAACCTTATTTAATCTAGCTATTTAGGATTCAACATAAAATGTATAAAGAAATATGAAAAGTTCTTTATTTGTCTGAATACGTTAAGAAAGATACACTTACCTGTTTTTGTATTTGTTGTGTGATCTATTGAAGGAATATTGTTTTCAGCAACTTGCAAAATCCAGTTTTCGGTTTTCCATTCACAGAAATCTGCTTCAAAGTCGCAAGCAACTAGGGCATAAACAATTAGTATGTTTTATTTATACAGAAATCAAAATGAGAACTTGTTTTAGAGAAAAAAATGAATTTTGCTACGCTACATCAAAATGTATTTTAATACACTAACATAAAAAGGCTAAATGAAATAATATTTGGCATTCGAATTTATTTTAACGAAGCAAATTTAGTCAAAATGAAAATAAAGTTTTCTTGCAATATCATTCAATGTTCTTATAGTTAGTACGGAAATGAGAAACATTTCAAATTGCATAACGTGTAATTTTTATCACACAAAATATCTAATTCGATTAATTGAGAAAATTCTGCTTTGATCCTTTGATGTTTTTTCTGGTATTCAGCAGGATAATTCGTTCCTGCTCTTAAATTCTGCTTTAAAAGATATGTGTGAGCTGGATTTGTTATTAATAATAGGTTACCTGTTATTATTAATATTTAATAGATGTAGATTTAACTTTTACAGAGTTTGTATGCACATTTATAGAAGATTTTGTTTTGCTATAAAAAATCGTCTGCGTGGAATTGTCAGTCTCTTCATTAGATATATTCTCAAAATCATATCTCGCGAAACACATTAAATTGCCATTATCAGATAGGTTAGTACTTTGTTGTTCCTGTAGTCAGTGGTTTGAAAGCAGAAATTCTTCATTAGATATATTCTCAAAATCATATCTCGCGAAACACATTAAATTGCCATTGTCAGATAGGTTTGTCCTTTCGTGTTCTTGTAGGCAGTGGTTTGAAAGCAGAAATTCTTCATTAGATATATTCTCAAAATCAAATCTCGAGAAACATATTAAATTGCCATTGCCCGATAGGTTTGTCCTTTCGTGTTCTTGTAGGCAGTGGTTTGAAAACAGAAATTCTTCCTTAGATATATTCTCAAAATAATATCTCGCGAAACACATTAAATTTCCATTGTCAGATAGGTTAGTACTTTGTTGTTCCTGTAGTCAGTGGTTTGAAAGCAGAAATTGTTCCTTAGATATATTCTCAAAATCATATCTCGAGAAACACATTAAATTGCCATTGTCCGACTTGAAGCGAAAACAAAATGCAATGTTTTAAGCGAATTACCAACTATATTATCTGCTATGTCTTCCATTCTACGTTTCATTCTGTTATTGGAAAGAGACAACATATTTATCTAATTTTCCTTTTTTTATCACATCTACGAGATGTCAACATTTTCATTGCAGGTTCTATGAACTTTTCCATAGCTGTATGAAATATCCAGCTTCAGAAATTGAATGACTTAGAATAATAAATATTAGAAATAAATTATCTAAAGATATTATTGTATCAGTAATTATCTAAAGTTAGTAATTATTATCTAAAGTTAGTGATTTCGGGTTCGATCTAAAGTTAGTGATTCGATTTTATCTGTCACGCAAAGTTTTACTTCCATGTCCCCACACCCTAGAATTTGAGAAACGAGGGCTTAAAATATTCATAAGTGGACGAAAATCAATAGATTATGACTTCTGGGCTCCCAACAACGTAAGTGGGAAAACTCATGTAGCTCAAATTCGTTATATTCTGAGTTCGAATTAATAACTCAATATACGAGAAGTCACTGACAATTTCCTTTTTCAAACTGAATCATATCTCATTTTAACTAAGAAACTAGAAACGCGTCGAATGGTGGAAAATTCATCCCACGTCGTCTGGATTAGGATCAGAAAGGCAGTCGCATTGGAGTTTGTCATGAACTCCTGTGTTTTGCAAATGAAGATAAAATTTCACGAAAAGAATATTCGATGATGATAAGAAGTGGATTGAATCGTCTGGTATTGAAAATAAAAGTTAGTTCAGTTTTTTTTCAAGAAGCTGGAAAGGTTTTCCGCATAGAGAGAAAATTCGGCAGGTTAAATAAAAAGGATCGTAAATATTTTGGATATCATTTTTATCATCGAAGATATTGGCCATTGTAATTTTTTTTCTACAACAGTGAACACTCAATAGTTGGTGTTATCATGAACTGCTGAAACCTACTAGAAAAAATATTTCATGCTATCTCAAGCAAATTAAATAAGTAAATGAATAAAAAAATATAAAAATCTGAAAGTTTTCAGATTTTACATTACGCCCTTTTTATCGTTTTCTGTGTTAGATTTATTTATTAAATATCATGTTCTTCTAACTTAAATCATAAAATTCAATTCAACAGGTATATACCAAAACAATTTTAAAATGAGCATATTTTTAGAATTTCTGATACACAGTCTCGCGTGCTGGAGATAAAAAATGTTGCTTTTTTCATACAGTATTGCCATTGCTCGAATTAAAATAGTTGAGTTTGTTAATCCAAAATTGGTTAAAGTGTTACAAAATATGAAATCGATAATAAAACAAATTTCAAATGCAAATTACGGCTTCCATATGCTCATATTCAGTGAAAGATTATGTTATTCAAATTTTGAGGTCTCTAGGTACCGTTGTTTTATCACTATGCGAGAAACATGTATACATTTATGCAGATTCTTCATTTTTTAATTTCTTTAAATATTATACAGGGCTCTAATATTTGCTGTCAACAATTTGAAAAGTGAACCGACATTTATAGGGAATCACAGCAAAACGCTAAAACTAAATTAATAGCTCTTCTGGGCTGTTGCCCTTCGGGCTAAAAAAGAAAAATGCTTGTTAGGACTGCTAGAAAAACTGGAAACGGCGTTCTAAGCGATATATTAATCGATGAATAGAATACTTCGAAGGTGACAAGGTTGAACAATTTGCAAATCAATGTAAAACATTTTGAACAGACTTACAAAACTTATTTTGAACAGACAACGGAAGTTTAACCGAACGCTGATCGTTAGTGATGTCATTGTGATAATTCTTTAGTTTTCCGTTAGGTTTTTTGCTTTTATTTATTTGTCCAAAGGGACAATTTTCCCAGAAAGACCCTTAATTTCGTTTTGGCATTTTGTGTTGATTCACTATAATTTTCGGTTCAATTTTTAAACTGTTGCTACCAAATTTTAGAGCTCAGTATTATATTTAAAGAAATTAAATAATGAAGCATCTGCATAAATTCATGTATGTATCTCGCATTTTAATAAAATAATGGTACCTAGATCCATCAAATTTTGAATAATGTAATCCTCCATCCGAACTTGGAAGCACAAATTCGAAATTCGGAATTTGTTTTATCATCTCTTTCATATTTTGTAAAACTTTAACGAATTTTTGGTTAACAAACTCGACACTTTCAATGCGAACAGTGGCAACTCTGCATTGAAAAAAAAAATTATCTCCAGCAAGCAAGACTGTGTATCGGAAATTATAAAGATGTGCTCATTTTAAAATTGTTTTGCGATATTGCTGTTGAACTGAATTTTATGGTTTAAGGGCGAAGAATGTGATATTTAATAAATAAAGATAACACACAAAACGTTAAAAAAAGCCTTTGGGCGTAATTTTAAAAGCTGAAATATTTTTATCTTATATTTTTTGTTCTTTTTGTTTTTCACTTTTAATATTATTTTCGATCTGGAGATTTATCATTGCGAGATGAATTTTTCATTTATGTCAATAGTAATTTTAATTTAGGGAATGAGAGGACGCGAAAAAGATATTCTGTTACTTAAATGAAACAGTAGTCATACAGCGCACATCTAAATGAAAAATTACGAGAAGAAATACAATTTTAAGAAATTTTAAGAAAATAATTTTAAGAATTTGAGTAAGATTGTTATGCTTCGATTTTATGAGAAGACTTTGATAATTAAAGTAGTACATTTCTAAGTATTGTACAATAATGTATTTAAATGAGACTCATACCTGGATGAGGACATTCGTCTTCATATACCTCGATGTCGTCTATGGCTATAGCTGGTGTTGTAAAACTGCCAATTATACCTTCAATAACGATCTGGAAAAAAAGTCCTTTGAGTGTAAAACTTTTTATAATAAAGTAGAAAGTAGATTACGAAGAACACAAACGCTATCAGTCTTTAAGATAAATTTAATTTTTTTTATTTAATGGCGGGCACTCAGCCGATTTAGGCTTGGCCACTATTAAGCACAGAAGTACTGGACACTTTATTTTGGAGGCACCTATAGGCGGCCATCGTTGTTTCCTATGAAGACACGGACAGTTAAAACCATGCCTCCTCCAGGATTCGATTCTCTTTGACATCGCAGTCGGTTCCGGACCATTTTATGGGAGGAGACCCGGAGTTCGATCTGGAGCTTCTGAGAATGAATGCAGCTGCGGGGATAGTGAAGTTCTACCTTATAGCCTCTCTTATTCCAGACCGACATAGGCCTCCTCGTGGCCGCCGCTGGTAACCAGGTTCGCCTGGACTAATTATGTCAGACACCATCCTTAGGGTTCGATTGGGCTGGAATTTCCGGAACGGACCATTTTATGGTAGGAGACCCGGGGTTCTATCCAGCAAACTGGCTAGATCAGTGTCTAGACAGCCTCGATCTCTGGGGTAAATAATCAGTCTTAACAGGACTAGAGACATCGTTTATTTGATGGTAGGTTCAGGCTTGGCCAGGGACCATACTTCTACTGTTTAGTCTTCCCCTTGGGTGTGCGGACTTTTCATGGTTAGATATCGTTGATTGTCCGAGTAGATGGCGCCCCTTGGTCAACACTTGGGGACGGACGGTGTCTGACGTGTAAATTCTTCATGAGTTGGCAGAGGAGAACGCTAATGTACGAGACAGCTTCCGTCCTAATGCGACCTTATAGGCGCCTATCGGAATTAATGCCGCCCCGCCCTTGATCAATTCACAATGTTGTGACCCCACAGAGCAAGGGCAGACAAGGCAGTACCAGTACGGTCCCTGACGAGCCTTATTCTATCCCGAGAGCCCTCAGGCCTTCTGTGAAGTCTGTTATTATGCCTCCGTGGTTGAGACAGCCTACGTACAGATCCTAACCAGTACTTCCCAGGCGTTCGCCGGAGTCATCCCCGGGGAAATTGGCAGAGGACAGACTCACCAGACAACATAGATCTCCTGCCCAGGTCCAACTTGCAGACCCATACGGAGTTGAGATATGTATGGTCCAAGGGACCTCATCCTCGCGGCGCAACCCCCGCAGTCCCCGCCCGGCTTTATACAAAGCATTGGCCAGAACGAATCATAGATATGAAAAAGAACTTAGTCTGTTTGCCTCCGGGCACCACTCCATTGGCGAAACACCTTAGATATGAGCGCTCTGTCCACTCTGTCAGTCCCCGTCACGAGAACTGAATGGGGTTAAACCCCCGGGGATTCGGTCAACGCTATCCGATCTAGCTCCACCACAGCCGAAGGAACAAACATAACAGTACCAGTACGGTCCTTGCCAAGCCTGAACCAACCTGAGTACAATACTCGGGTTCTAGTCCTGTGAAGCCAAATTATATACCCCGTGGTTGAGACTGCCTAGGTACAGATCCTAACCAGTATTTCCCAGGCATTCGCCTGAGTCAACCCCCGGGGAGATTGGCAGAGGACAGTGGCGCCCTCTCGGATGGCCACTAGAGGTTGGAGCATTAATAAACCGTGTAAGGTGGCCTTGTAACTCCCAGGTCTTGGTGCTCTCTCCTCTCGTGTAATGCCCCTAACCACTATACCGTATGGCCGATCTCTAAGATAAATAGCACAGAAAAACAATTAGGAAATACTAGACTGAAAGAAATTTGTATAACGTACTATAACATGATCATAAACAGTTATAAAAATCTGCAACCGTTTTATAATGTATCTATCAAAAACAACATGAGCACAAATCCCATAAATCAGCACCAAACGTTTAGATGTTCCGTTATGAACAATTTACGAGGATTACTAAGTTAGACTTAAGAGAGACTTACAGAATAGGGATCTTTACTGCGGATGGTTCGCATTCCAGGCTTCCAGGTATTGCCTTGGGAATTGCGTTTTCTCCATACAGTGGTATTCCCAGTGTCTGTTCTGATGATAATATTCAAAGTGCCGACATCTGGTCCATACATGTGATACCAAAAATTAAAGCAGCGTTTGTCAGTGAGTTCTTGTTTTAAACTCACCAAGTGAGCCTTGCTACCATTTTTCCACTTTGCGTCTGCTCTTACGTACATGAAATAGCCTGAAAATAAAAGCAAAACAAATTGATAAAAAAATTCGAAACAAGAAAGCTTAGTGGTATCGTTCATGAAGCAATCGGAATTGTATCCAGGTTTTTTAAATGCTCAAAATATAATATGAGACTTATGAACGCAAATTCATGTAATTGTGTTTAATAAAGAAATGCATAATTCCCGGCAATTAAGCTCTAAAATTCTTGAAATGCGTAATTCCCGGTAATTAAGTTGTAAAATTGTTGACGGAATTTTATAGTCTACAAGTAGTTTATAAACACGGGTAGATATTTAAACAAGAAACAATTTACCTAAGAAACTGCATATAGTTAAACTTATCACTAAGAGACAGAAGTAGAAAAGCAAGATTTATTAAAGATCCATCCCCAAGCATTCCTGCTTCTATTACTTGGGGCAACTGCTTGTAATTTAACTGTTTTTAAGTATAAGGTGTAAGGTTTTAAGTATTTCTTCCTCCTTCCAGCATGCCTTCGCGGTGTAACAGTAGCATATTCGGTGCGTATTCAAGAATTACAGGTTCGAGTCCTGGTGAGGGCAATGCTCATTTTTAGGTCTCCAGCATCAAGAAACCTAATTCCCGACCTAAAAATGTGGTGAAAAATAATTTGTCACCACCAGGATTTGGCGATTAGGTCTTTTAATCCCCAGTCGCCCTTTAAAAGGGGGAGTATATAAGACATTTTATTCCTCCTTTCCGCATGCGTTTGTGGTGCAATTCGAAGCATACTCGAGGTGTATTTGAGAGGTCCAAGTTCGAGTCCCGGCGAAGCATTGAACGGTTTCACTTCTTCTGCTTCCCCTCCCAAAAAAAACCCTAATAACTACAAATGGTTCCCGAACTAAAAGGTGGTAGATTCGTCACCAAAAGGATTTAACGATTCGATCTCCTAATCCCTAGTCGCCGTTTAAAATGGGGAATACATAAGGTATTTTATCTCTCCTTCCAGCATGACTTCATGATGTAACAGTAGCACATTCGTTTCGGCCCAGTTTCGAGTCCCGGCAAGAGCATTGCTCAACCTAATGACTCTACATAACATTAGAAAATTTGATTTTTATTTTCACTATCATTGACTATTAGAAAATATTGATGCCACTTTTATAGTAATGATGATTTTTACACCCAGCAGAAATCATATCCAGCCTGAGTGGAAATTTAATGAAAGTTTTATGGAAAATGTGAGAAACAATTATTATTTGAACCCTCCATATAAAAGCAAATATTGTTCAAAATTAGAACTAAAACATAAAAAAAAAAAAAAAAAAAAAAAAAAAAAAAAAAAAAAAACAGAAACAGTCAGTTATATTTCAGCCTTTTTTATTACTACTTGTATTTCCACATTAGATTTGGTATTATTTGAATAAGAATTTAAATTACATTTCATTACAAACACTTACAATTTTTATCGAAATATACGATGTATAATTACGATAACCATATTAAACAGTATTATATTTTGCTATTTGAATCCTAAACTCAGATGTTTAAGTTGCATTAAAAATAATAGTGTATTTATAAATTATACAAAATTATTGAAATATCTTTGAAACTTTTAAAAAATTCGTTAGAAATAAAAGCCGGGATTGATCCAGATTTTCTTACAATGCAGTAGAGGTAAAGTGATTAAGGTTTTCGAAGTATTTCCAAAATTCTGATTAATTCTATTGATCTATTTATGAGAGGTATTCAAAATATTTTGAGATATTCATAAAGAGACAACAATGAAATGAATGTAAAATGAAACAATTATTGCACCATTTTGACGCTTCTACAAAGGTACTTTCTGCATGTTGTCGTTTCCCGAAATTATTTTTTAAAGCAATTAGAACATTGGTCCCTGTCAGATGTTTAACAGAATTTGTTCAGAAGTTGATTACTTTTACCATTTCATCTGAGGGTGAAAACTCGCAAATTAACTATGGGGGATATGGGAAAATCACTATAATGTTCTGTTGCAGCATTTTATAGTTCTTTCATCTGTATGACAGGACGCATTTGTTTCCCGAAATTATTTTTTAAAGCGTTTCCCGAAATTATTTTTTAAAGCAATTAGAACATTGGTCCCTGTCAGATGTTTAACAGAATTTGTTCAGAAGTTGATTGCTTTTACCATTTCATCTGAGGGTGAAAACTCGCAAATTAACTATGGGGGATATGGGAAAATCACTATAATGTTCTGTTGCAGCATTTTATAGTTCTTTCATCTGATGACAGACGCATTTTCCCGAATATTTTTAAAGCGTTTCCCGAAATTATTTTTTAAAGCAATTAGAACATTGGTCCCTGTCAGATGTTTACAGAATGTTCAGAAGTTGATTGCTTTTACCATTTCATCTGAGGGTGAAAACTCGCAAATTAACTTGGGGGATATGGGAAAATCACTATAATGTTCTGTTGCAGCATTTATAGTTCTTTCATGTATGACAGGACGCATTGTTTCCCGAAATTATTTTTAAGCGTTTCCCGAAATTATTTTAAAGCGTTAAAAATTAAAGCATTAGGGTCCCTGTCAGATGTTTAACAGAATTGTTCAGAAGTTGATTGCTTTTACCATTTCATCTGAGGGTGAAAACTCGCAAATTAAAAACTATGGGGGAATGGGAAAATCACTATAATGTTCTGTTGCAGCATTTTATTAGTCTTTCATCTGTATGACAGGACGCATTTGTTTCCCGAAATTATTTTTAAAAAAGCGTTTCCGAAAATTATTTTTTAAAAGCAATTCGAACATTCCCTGTCAGAGTTTAACAGAATGTTTCAGAAGTTGATTACTTTTACCATTTCATCTGAGGGTGAAAACTCGCAAATTAACTATGGGGGATATGGGAAAATCACTATAATGTTCTGTTGCAGCATTTTATAGTTATTATCTGTAGACAGGACGCATTTGATTCCCGAAATTATTTTTTTTTTTTAAGCGTTTCCCGAAAATTATTTTTAAAGCAATTAGAACATGGTCCTGTCAGATGTTTAACAGAATTTGTTCAGAAGTTGATTGCTTTTACCATTTCATATGAGGGTGAAAACTCGCAAATTAACTATGGGGGATATGGGAAAATCACTATAATGTTCTGTTGCAGCATTTTTATAGGTTCTTTCATCTTATGACAGACGCATTTGTTTCCCGAAATTATTTTTTAAAGCGTTTCCCGAAATTATTTTTTAAAGCAATTAGAACATTGGTCCCTGTCAGATGTTTAACAGAATTTGTTCAGAAGTTGATTGCCTTTACCATTTCATCTGAGGGTGAAAACTCGCAAATTAACTATGGGGGATATGGGAAAATCACTATAATGTTCTGTTGCAGCATTTTATAGTTCTTTCATCTGTATGACAGGACGCATTTGTTTCCCGAAATTATTTTTTAAAGCGTTTCCCGAAATTATTTTTTAAAGCAATTAGAACATTGGTCCCTGTCAGATGTTTAACAGAACTTGTTCAGAAGTTGATTGCTTTTACCATTTCATCTGAGGGTGAAAACTCGCAAATTAACTATGGGGGATATGGGGAAAATCACATAATGTTGTTGCAGCATTTTATAGTTCTTAATCTGTATGACAGGACGCATTTGTTTCCCGAAATTATTTTTTAAAGCGTTCCGAAATTATTTTTAAAGCAATTAGAACATTGTCCTGTCAGATGTTAACAGAATTTGTTCAGAAGTTGATTGCTTTTACCATTTCATCTGAGGGTGAAAACTCGCAAATTAACTATGGGGGATATGGGAAAATCACTATAATGTTCTGTTGCAGCATTTTATAGTTCTTTCATCTGTATGACAGGACGCATTTGTTTCCCGAAATTATTTTTTAAAGCGTTTCCCGAAATTATTTTTTAAAGCAATTAGAACATTGGTCCCTGTCAGATGTTTAACAGATTTGTTCAGAAGTTGATGCTTTTACCATTCATCTGAGGGTGAAACTCGCAAATTAACTATGGGGGATATGGGAAAATCACTATAATGTTCTGTTGCAGCATTTTATAGTTCTTTCATCTGTATGACAGGACGCATTTTGTTCCGAAATTATTTTTTAAAGCGTTTCCCGAAATTATTTTTTAAAGCAATTAGAACATTGGTCCCTGTCAGATGTTTAACAGAATTTGTTCAGAAGTTGATTGCTTTTACCATTTCATCTGAGGGTGAAAACTCGCAAATTAACTATGGGGGATATGGGAAAATCACTATAATGTTCTGTTGCAGCATTTTATAGTTCTTTCATCTGTATGACAGGACGCATTTGTTTCCCGAAATTATTTTTTAAAGCGTTTCCCGAAATTATTTTTTAAAAGCATTAGAACATTGGTCCCTGTCAGATGTTAACAGAATTTGTTCAGAAGTTGATTGCTTTTACCATTTCATCTGAGGGTGAAAACTCGCAAATTAACTATGGGGGATATGGGAAAATCACTATAATGTTCTGTTGCAGCATTTTATAGTTCTTTCATCTGTATGACGGGGACGCATTTGTTTCCCGAAATTATTTTTTAAAGCGTTTCCCGAAATTATTTTTAAAGCAATTAGAACATTGGTCCTGTCAGATGTTTAACAGAATTTGTTCAGAAGTTGATGCTTTACATTTCATCTGAGGGTGAAAACTCGCAAATTAACTATGGGGGATATGGGAAAATCACTATAATGTTCTGTTGCAGCATTTTATAGTTCTTTCATCTGTATGACAGGACGCATTTGTTGCTGATCTATTTCCAAGTCTGTATTTCTCAAGGATTATGGATGAGCAAACACTTATTCTTCCTTAAGTATTCTGTGCTTTTGGTATATAATCAGAACCTCAGAGCTAGTCTTTCAACTCTCCGAGACTGAAATTGAAAGAAGCATGATGCGTTTGATGATGAAATGAGTGAACAGTATTTAATAGAAACATAAGATGTAAAATCACAATAAAATAAGATTGGCTATATGACCGGCTTATTTATATAAACCAGTGATTCTCAACCACTGTGCCGCGGCACTTTTGTGAACCGCCAAATTCTTAACATGTGCCGCCAAATTTTAGAAATGCATATAGTAAAACTTATAATGGGTTTAATCCTAGTATGCGGTGCACGTGAGAATTGGCGGAATTCGGTTTTTAAGACATTAATAAGCGTGCCAATTGTGGTATCCAAACCGATTTTGGTTCCTAAGACTTCTGCATTTGAATTAACTTTGAACAAAGAGGAAGAACTAACTTCGCTTTAATAATCGAGATTTAATTTTAAAATATTCGGAAGAGTCAATTAATTCATTTTGAATTAACATTAGATGCGATTATCCCATGGTTGCCAAAAACCCTCATTACAATTACAGTTATATTACTACAGTTTCCTGCATCTTATTTGTGCGAGTTCGGATTTTCAGTATTAACCAACATAGAAACGATAAAAAAGATCGAGACTGTTAAATGTAGAAAACAATATGAGAGTAGCATTCTCCTTTTTACCACCAAATATAAATGAAATTATCAAAAACATCAAGATCAAATTTCTCATTAAAAGTATTCTTATTATTAAATTGCAACTAATCCCTTAATAAATGTACTGCAGATTTTATAGAACATGTTATTTTATTTTAAATTCAAAATTATTATCATAAACTATTTTACACAGTTTATTATTAGGTAAGTAAACAACTTTTAAAACTTATCTTTTTCTTTGTCTGCCGCCAAATTTTGAAATCGTTAAAAGTGTGCCGCTACAAAAAAAAGGTTGAGAATCACTGAAGTAAACCTCTAAATCTACTGCACACAGCAAAGCCGAATCTAGAACATTATTATAATCTAAATAGAGTGGCTAAGTACTAACTATTGACATAGAAAGCTACTTCAAACACGCGTCCATAAATTCAGAACTAACTGTCCTACTACAAACTCTTAAAAATGCTGCTGATTTCGAACTCACTTAGATTTGCATATTATGTCATTAAAATTTACATTCTGGCATGAAACTGAAATCAGAATGGAAATGAAAGCTCTAAAATTAAAAATAATTGGTTAGAATAAAATAAAGTCTTTACAGGATATGACGAATTAAATTTGCAGTTCTCAAACACTATGAGTATCTGAAAACTTCTGAATTTAATGTGTTGATGTGATATTGTTCTCAGTTCCAGCGTTACTACCATACTTAGAAATATTTCAGAATTCTGAGAACTATTGAATCACAATTTTGCACAAAAAAGAAACAAATGATTCTCACCTCCTTTTCCAGTATGGTCAGATTTCGGCCCATATGTCTCATTCACTGTTTCTGCTCGTGTCCAGGTGATGCTAGTGAAGTCGTTATCCGGATGCCAGCCACACTCGTCCTTATCAAATGTGCAATTCAAAGCTGCAAATAAAATTAAGGAAATAATTTTTAAGATCAGAAGAGTGCTACCAATTTCAATGTAAAATAAGTCTTCTGTCTGGCAACAATTTAAAAAATATTTTTGGAAATTCATAAATCCGGCGATTTCGGTATTAGTAAATGAAATCTCTCAGGTAATTAAAAGGAAAATTCAAATCTCTATTCAATAAAGCGATGTATTTAAAGGATGGCTAAATTATTACATAAATAAATTAGTCAATCAAAATTAGTTAAAAACCTTATCAAACAATGGCATATTTTGTTTACAGCACAAAACAGCTGGAAATGTTTTCATGGATACACAACATTTTACTCTTTTGTTAACAATGATATAATAAGCCTATAATGGGAATAAAATGTTTGTGATAACAAGCCACGGGTATTCTAACCCACTGAGTAGAATACCAATAAGATCAGAATCCTTAACCGAGTCACCAAAAAATATTAACCTGTGCCTAGCTGATGGTGGAAACACTTCGAGAACATAATGACAAGCATATTACCCGGCTGGACAATTACTAAGGATGGGCAGCAGTGTCTTCCATAACAATCATAAAAGGAAGGAAGCAAAGTGTGAAAAATTCGAATAAGTGCGGGATGTAATTCAATTCACTAGGCTCCTAGGCCTCGGCTGTAAAAAGCTCTTAACACGGTTATAATGCCCAACTTCAAGAGGCGATCTGAAGAAACATAACACTCTCGGTCAACCCAAACGGACATATTTGATATACGCAGTCTGGAAAATTGGAACACAAGTCAGGGGTAGATGGCAAGCATCCACCAACAAAGAGAAGAACAATGTGCATCGTAGTCCCTTTCCCAAGTGTTGACCAAAGGGAGACAAAGCCCCAAAGACAGCCTTCAAAATGTAACCATGTAGTTTCCCCATACCCCAAGAGTAGACAAGACAGTAGCAGAACGGTCCTTGCCGAGCTTGAATCTAGCACCGTATAAACGATGGTTCTAGTCTTGTGAAGACTGATTATATATCCTGGTGATCAAGACTGCCTAAGTACAGATCCTAGCCAATAGCTTCATAGGCTTTTACCTGTGACAACCCCGGGGGGGGCGAATGCGGGATACAGTAAAAAGACGTATGAGTATGCTAATTTTCATAACCTCGCCTTTCATTTCGTGATAACACGTAAAAGATTTAAAGGATTTGGCTCATGCGGGTACTTCAAGTGAAATTTTTATGGAAAAGATTTAATTGACGATCTTGAAAGCTTCAGTATGTATTGCTGACATCACTTAGATCAGTATGTATTGTTGACATCACTTACGCGTGGTCGTATCATTGGAAAGATTAAAACAGGGCGATAAATAACAGATGTTGACAAAGAGTTCAACATCGCCCACAACATTATTTAATGGCTGTGAGAAGAATTTAAAAGCACTAGAAAGTGTTACTATCACGGAAGAAGTCATGTTAGTTCTACAACACCTGTAGGAGATAGGTACACTGCAGAAAAAAAAAAAAGAAAGAAAGAAAAAGGACATTTCTATATCTCCTATTCTAATGAGCCGATTGACGAAATTCAACTTGCGATTTTCATGTCTGGAAAGCGCTACTTAGGATACGTATTAGATTTATGTATAGCATTGTTCTAATGCAGGTATTTTGACACAAAATCGGACTTTTTCTGAAATGACACGCTAATTTTATGCCAAACTGCCAAGTTTTGTAAAAATCGCTCGAGTATTTTAAAAAATTAGCTCTCAAAATTTTAGCTTGAATTTTAGCTGAAATTGAATTTGGTATATATTTATTAATATCTCGATCTTCATTAAACTTATTTGATTCTTCCTTTCACATTTCGAAATTTAGGTTCATTCCAAATAAAATTCGCCTGTTTTTTTATGATTTATATTTAAAATTTGTATTTTTAAATAATTTTTATAAATTTTTCGAAAGAAATTTGAATGATAGGCTATAAAAGTTTTGCCATCACCTTAAAGTAGATGTCATTCTAAGCATACCTGCAAAAAATTTGAGTTTTTTATCCAAAATTTCCTAAGATATACGTGAATTTACATATTCGCGCGTTTTGAAATTCGGCATATTTGTCAAGAGCGATAATAACGCCAAATATGGTTTACGCACTTGTTAAAATTACTTGAAAGTATGAACGACGACTTTTTTTTCGCTCGTGGACAATGAAGGAAAATGAAAGGAAAATAGGTTGCTATAAGTTAATAAGTTCGCCAAGTGAATTATTATTGGCCAAAAAAAAAAAAATTTCGCCAAAAAAAAAATTTTGAAAAAAAATTCGCCAAGATAAATTTTTAAATTTCTCCATAAACTTCTCACCAAAAATTACGAAATTTAATATCTGAGCATAATTTAAGTCGCAGAATCAAAATATGAAAAAAATATTGGTATGTGTTTTAAAAAAAAGGCCGATTTTGTGTCAAAATACCTATGTTAGAACACAGCTGAATATAAATCTCATGTATATCCTAAGTCGCGCTTTCGAGACATGGAAAACGCAATTTGAATTTCGTCGATGGGCCCAGTAGAACAGGAGATATATAGAACTATATATAATATATATATATATATATATATTCGCGTTGTATATTGTCCTGTCGACAAAGAAAATTTCACATCAGAGCTCAGCTGGTGGCGAATGACTTGGACTGAACAGGATTGGACTTGAGTAATATTCTTCAGACGAGAACAGCTCCAGTCTGTCATCGGCTTATAAACACCAACTGATCTGGTGTGAGGTCTTATCATTCAGAAATAGCCAAGAAAGGGACCGATATCCGGGATGCAGTATCATGATATCCGGACATCATCGATATCCGGGATGCGGACAGGGGCCACTGATCATGGTATGGGCCGTCATCATGATCAGTGGCCCCTGTATATCCTTGCAGTTGAGACTGATCGGCCAACAATAGACTGATGCAGTTGAACTACCTCTTATTCACCTTTCTCTTGATGATTTCGGTGATAAATTTATTTCTATGAACGACAACTCACCATGTCACCGAACTCTTGCTGTTCACTGTTGTCTAGATAGAGATAATATTCAACTCATTCTTCAGATATAAACCTCATGAAAATGTTTGGGATGTGGAAAGTTGCATCAAACTGCACGATGGACATATCCTGTACTAACACCTTTCTGAAAGGTGATGGTTTTCATTCATATGCACTTTTCTGTTTTTCTGTAACAGCATAAAAAAAAACACTTTTTAACTTCTGGATGTTTCAAAACCTTCTTAGCAGCAAACCACACTTAATGTTCTGCATCACTGCAATTTAGATCGGTCCTTAACGATTGTTCAGCATTGTCATTAGAAAAGATAAGTCTTCCAATAACTTTGCCTATTCATGTAGAAAGTATACTAAAATCTATGTATGAATCAAATTAGGAAAAGAATATAATTAACTCAAATCAAGTTTAACACCAGTAACTAATTATATTAATGTCTGATTGGAATGTGAAGCATAGATATTGAGGGAAAAAACAATGCACTGAGTACTGAATTGTAAATTCAGAAATGAATCCATTACTTACATTCATTGTATGTCTTTTTAGGGTCACAATTAACATACTTAATATTATCAACGGCAATATCCTGAATTACTCCTAGATTGGAAGGTAAATTTGTGTTGCCTTCAAACTGGATCTGCAAAATAATAAAGACAAATAAAGCACACTTCTCATGTAGGGATTCAAATCTTTATAACATTAAGTGCAGGAAATGTAATGAGAAAGTTACTTCTACTTGAAAAGTATCATAGCATCTAAAAACCCGAAGAGCTAAGATTTTTTAGGTATAGATTGGGGTAAGACATTCAGAAACCAGGTTGCCTTCAAATGCTGTATAATTAAAAATCTGCATGTTGCTTTTAGATAATAATACATCCCTGGGGTTCACGTGCCATGTAAAATATTTGTTTTAAATATTTAAATAACTGTTTAGTATTTAAATATTGGACAATAACTGTTTTGGAAATCATTTATTCTAAATAGTGCGTCTTAATATTATACAAATAGGGTATGGGGTATTGAAACACATCATTATTGACCATAAATATTGTTGCGCACATACGGGTTCTTAATAGATCGAATACACAAGTCCGATGATAGGTTGATAAAATTTATTTTATTAAAAGAAACATTTCAGAGTTAGAGAACTTTCCACAGAAATACTCCCACATATATTCACAGTATAATAGAGTACAATCAGCAGCTACACAAACTACTAACAGTGTTAAACACAACACTATGTAAAGCGCATTTAAACAGCGAGGCTAACCCGGAGATATCTCAGTACTCCGAACTCACGCTCAACTAACGAGATGCCCTATTCGGCCTTATATAGTTTTCACCCGGCTATTGAGATATTTCTTGTACTTTCTGCTTCGGCACCATTCTTTTATTTACTCCCTATCCAAGATAAGCATGATTTAATTGAACGTGATTCGTTAGAAAATCAAAAATCTTGCATATGAGGTGGTTTTACACTAACATGAGCTCGATTTATTGAAAATGCATTGCAATAAATATAATTAACAGTCTTTAATATTATATCTCAAAGCCAAGCTTTCTAAGCACGTTTTCTTTTAATGTAAAAATAACATTTAAACTATAAGGCATCAGTTGTTAAATATTAAGATCAAACGGTACTTTGCCATTTTATCTACTAGTGGTATTACTGCAGTAATATGTGCACGTGTTATTGTTGTTTTTATTATTCTTGTTTAGACACAGACATAAATACACACATAGCTCCCAGATGGTATCATCGTTGGTCTCTGCATGTGTTTGACTTCTGTTTTGCAGAAAGGCTAATAAGCGTGACAAGTGCAAAATAACTAAATAAATATTTTTCTTTTCACTGCAAAGAAATACAATTAAACTGAAAAATTATAAGATGCGAAATTTATGCTGCACAAGTAAGAGATGTAAGGTTATCAGAACAGCATTTTGAGAACAAAAATGCAGGCTTAAATTTGAACAATTGAGGGATTTTAAAGATTTTTGTTCCGAAAAAAGTCCGGACTTTTTTTAATGGAATGAAAACACTAGAAAATTTTCAAAATCTCTCTAGTAACTTTTTGTGTCAGTACAAATAGCAAACGTTTTGGTTTGCAAAGTTTATAAGGTATTTCTTCCGCCTTCTTAGCATGCCTTCCTAGTGTAGTGGTCAGCACGCTCGATTGTGTAACCGAGAAGTCCGTGGTTCGAGTCCCGGCGGCGTAATGGCAGACCGCACATTGAGTTGAACAGTGTTAAACGAATGTCGCATACTGCGCATGCCCAGAAAACAATTTGGCGTAATTACTGTGTTGGAGCGATTTGAAAAGAAGATAAATACGGTATATGGTAGATGTACCGCCATCTGATTGTAAACAAATCTGGCGTTTAAATCTTCGTAGAGTATAATGTAAATGTAAATTAATTACTGCGTTAAAATACTATTTTTTTGCTGTACTGTTCAAACAACTAGAAAGCTGAAATTATTGCGAATGTGAAGCAGTGTTTGCATTCAAAATGTAAAATATAATACCAATGAAATTCTGCACATTCCTTTGGAACTGTACAAATTTTCGTTCAGAAAAAGACTGAAATTTAGGATATATTAGTTGAAAATTTATTCATTATACTTTTTAAGCAATAAAACAATTCAGGATTTACCATACGTTCCATTCGTACATACATAAAGAAACACTGAGGAATATAACAAGTGCTTGCAAATAACACTGAAGAAATTTTACAATTCCTTAATGCTAGTTATTAAATTCTTTGAAATGAGAAAATAAAAGCGCGAATATACGCTAAAAAACGAAGCGAGATACTCCAGTTTACAATTATTGAATTATAACATGTAAACAAATTACATTTAAATAACGAATTATTACAAACATATGTTAACAAATATTAAATGCATTGTTATTGACAAATTACAATGAAATATATATTAGAAAAATAAGCAAGTGCAATCGGTATGGACGTTAAAAATAAACTAATAAGCAAAGTTCCACAACATTACAGTTGTAAACATCATTCGAACACACTCGACAGCCATGGTGATCACGAATATGCTAGCGTAGGGTTGCTTAGTCGCCAATATTTCTCCCCGTGCCAAAGGTACACCATCAAGCATGCGCAGTAAGCGAAATTTGCTTAACATTATTCAAATCAATGTGCGGTCTGCCATTACGCGTCCCGGCGAGGGCATTGCTCATTTTTCGCATCTCTTGCCCCGAAATAACCTAACGTCTCTACAAGTTGTTATGTGAGTTTGAAAAACCATCGGGTTAGACTTTAAGAAGCAAAACCTATTTAGATTTTTAAGAATATCTTCTCCCAAAATGTGTCATCATATTTTACGAGAAATGTACATAAAATTTATGAAGATTTATTATTACAGATAATCATTGAATATATGTATCATAAAATCATACCATTTTTCCTGCTGGATAATTCCCAAGGGGAACAGACACAAACTGCCAGTTTTTTCCAGTATTTTTCCTCTGTACAAACCTTTCGATTTTCCCTCCATTCAACTGGCTTACGTACACAGCCAAATATCCTGAAAAAAATAAATGTAGATAATAATTCGGTCAATAATTCAAATATGTAAGCAATAACTAGACAAACAAATAGGAAACTTTTAAAAATCTGATGACTTTTATAAAGTGAGTGAATGTGATTAAGGCAAAGCCTCGAGGGTTATCTGTCTAAGGGGAAGGGATGCCTTCGTGGAGGACTTTCTAAGTAAAACTGGCTCGTATACACGTTACACATGGGGAAAACCACGAAAACGCCCATGCAGCCAGCCCGTTCGCGGGATTCGAACCACTTACCGAACTACCAGTGTTCAGCGACTTCGGCCGCTGGTGGGCCTGACTTTTATAAAGATTTACGAAAATGTGACAATTAATATCAATCAATTCAATATTATTTGATGCCTCAAAAGAGACCCAAAATCTCTTATTTTCTAAATTATATTATACTCAGTTCTCATATTGACATTAATTTTAATTTAGATTAGTTTTATAAAGTATTTCTCTCGCCTTCTTAGCATACCTTCTTAGTGTAATGGTCAGCACGCTGGGCGCGTATTTCAGAGGTCCGTGGTTTGATTCCCGGCGAAGGGGTTGTTCATTTTTCATCTTTTCCGCTTCTAAATAACTTAATGGCTTCTAAATAACTAAATAACTTTAATTAAATAATCTGTCTAATAATTATCAATATCTTTTATTGACAAATGGGCTTTCTTCAGAATCCAAGTCTCAAGAAAACTCTCCTGAGAAAGTTCTATATTCTGTACCACTTGAAGCGGCCGAGCGGTAAAGACGCTGAACACTGGTAGTTCGGTCCGAGGTTCGAATCCCGCGAACGGGCTGGCTGCATGGGCGTTTTCGTGGTTTTCCCCATGTGTAACGTGTATACGAGCCAGTTTCCCTTAGAAAGTCCTCCACGAAAGGCATCCCTCCCCTTAGGCAGATAGCCCTAGTGTGCTTTGCCATAATTAAATACCAATACCAACCAACATCTGTACCACTTGGAAGCTTCTTCCCTTTTTTATCTTTTCTATTTCAGTTTTCCTGTAATTTGCAACGTTTTTACTAAATTTCTCAATTGAATTCGCTATGATTGCTCAGAGTTTTACTCAAGGTTTACTAAACATTTGTCTTATTACTTTTAATTCAACATGCTTCTCTTTATCAAAGCAATTATTTTTTAACTTCTTCGAATTTATTCTTCACAATTACTTCGTCGTAAATATTTTTAACCTAAGCCATACAACTTTTTCGATCGCAAAATTTAAAAAGAAATTAATTATTTGTTACTAAACACTGCAAAATTTTCTATTCGCTGAATTCAAGGGAACTCAAATTTAAACTTTTTTGGCTAATTAAATTGAATTTCATTTTCACTCGAATTTAATTTTTTGGCTCGATGGCTAGATGTTTTGGCTAGTTAATCTGAATTTAAATTTTAAGAATTTTCACTCGAATTTAACTTTTTGGCTCGATGGCTAGATTTTTCGGCTAATTAACTCGAATTAAATTTTTTCGAATTTAATTTTCACTCGAATTTAATTTTGGGGGGTTGGTTAACATTTGAAGGTACAGTTCGGTTTTATAATCCAGGTAATTCGTTGTTTTCCCTTTTGCGAATTTTTCTTTTTCAGTATACCATATTGAAAGACATTAGAAGATTTTCTCGTTTTTGAAAATTTTATTATTATTAATTAGTTTAAAATTTATAGTTCCTCCCTCTCTTTTCTTGTGTTATCATTGGAAGCCCGAGTTTTGAATTTCGAATTGCTTTTATTATCTATTTCACATTTTGTAAAACTTTAATGTATTTTCGCTTAATAAACTCAAAGATTCGAAAGCGAGCAGAGCTAATACTACACAGAATAAAATATTTTTGTTACCAGCCCACACCACTGTCTATCGGAAATTCTAAAGATATGCAGTTTTAAAATATCTGATGATTTTAGTGGCGAAATTTGTGATATTTAATAAATAAAGTTAACACACATAAAAAGACAAGAAACATTTTATTAGTTATCTTACTAAGAAAACTGAACAGTGATCTGATGAACTAAGACTGGGTGAACTGATCTGATGAACTCTGACTGAGTTAAAAGAATATAAAATAAAATGTATACCAACATTTAACACTGCATCGGGAATACTAACTTTTGTAAAATTAAATAATAATTTTGCGATTTTGCTGTTGGATTGCATATGGCGTAAGTGGAAAGAAAATGATGCTCAATAATGAAGCTAAAAAGGCAAAACAAATGTGTTAGTAGAAGTAAGTGTAACAACAAACTGGTAGACTGTGAATTGAGCGAAAGTGTATAAAACTCTAACAAACCGATTTGGGCAACTGTTAAAATCTGAAACCTTTAAATTTTTTTTACTTACAATGGATTTATATTGTAAGGCGAGAAATAAAACGTAAATCATGTTTCCAATAACCAGTGTACTACGTAGTACTGAATGCTGCACAGGACAGACACGGCATAGAATCTATAGTAGCTTACTCTTTTTTGGTAACATTAACCAAGCCAAGACTCGCAAAACTAAAATTGATAGACTTAAAATACGAATTTAGACTACATAGCATTACTTAATGATCAGTTTTATGTATTATTATGTTTATCAGTTTTAGTTTTAGTTTTCATGTATTACGTATGCATATTTAAGTGTTATGTATGCAGGCATTAGGGATCAGCTTTCTGTATTTCTGTACTCAGTATCATGTTAGTTTTTCACTTTAATATTCAGTTTTGTACTTATGTATGCATTATCCTGTCTGCAAGTTCTACGAAAGAAAATGTAGGTGAATGGTTCAATTTGTGAAACAACTACAGTTTAAGTATGCGCAAAGACCTAAATTATGCAGGAATTTGTTATCTTAGTGATAACAGGTATACAATCTTTTAAATGTTCTTACATAAGAGTCAGGCAAATGGAAAGTAATCTGCGTTAAAAAATGTTTGGGCGCTAGGAATTTTTTTAATCATTTTTTAATCTCTCTTTTTTTAAAGTTTACTATGTGCAATAATTTAATAGGTTACATCTTTCCTCCATGCAGGACCAACGATTTTACAAAAGCCCCATAAATATATGACAGTTGTGTCAGGATTAGCACCCGCAGGTAGACATTTAGCAAGTCCAGAAAATCCACGGCAGTTAATTTTTCAAGCAGATTCCTCCTATCTTTACTTTATCTAACACGAGTTTCTGTCTATTCTAACAGCGATTCTTAACAGTCTTTTGAATGCTTCTTTGCTTAATTTTAAGTAGTTCCTAACAGGGTACTCTTTCCCCGTACAACAACATCCAAGCTTACATGTAGACTTTATGAGGCTCTTAGCCGTCTATTCGGCTGCGTTCCCGGAGCAGGATGGAGCAGAGAGTAGCTGGTTTTTGCCAGGAAGATATCATACTGTGAGGCTAAGGCCAGGTCAGTGGTCTTCCTTGGTGGCGTTCACTCACTCACTCACTTAACGTATTATCGCTACGTCTAAAATGCAAACAGAAACATAAGAAAGGTGTAAAAACCCTTTTATTTAAGAATTCAAATAACTGAACAGCGGGCAGTCCCAGTGCTTTCAAACCTAGCTAGCATTTATGGGATAAATTCAAACGTAAGGAACTTAAATTTAAACTAAGTTTTCAATTAACTAAAGCCTAATAAATATTTAAATCGCAAGTTGGCTCAAACCTTCACCAGCATGACAGCACTATTAGCAAGATTAAAGCAAAGCCGTAGATAGCATGGTATTGTATAATTTCAACTAGCATCGTAACCTTCAGCAGGAGGAGCATGCTCGGACTTAAACAATCTAAAACTGGCCTTTAATTACCATATCTTCCCCCCTCATTTAAATAAACGAGAGCTAAAATTTGCTTCTGGCAGAAAACGGAAAAGAAGAACTGATAGTAGAGTTTCTGAACATAAAATAACTGGTTAATTTAAATACATATCTTACAAATCGACAACATGTTTGTCGGTACAGGATTGACAAGGCAACTCAAATCCTCAAACCACTCCTTACCTTAAAATGGTAATAATTTAATCATTTTGGTACTTTTCCGTTTTGCCAGCGCAAACGATAAATTCGCCAATAATGGTACAACTGATGCCAAACGGAATATCTTCGCTGGTAACCTTTTACGCTTCATTTTCAAATAAATCGTAGCCATTTCTTTTTTGATTGATTGTTTCTTTCAATACTGGCATAAAATTACATAGGGTTTTTACCGGATTTTAACAATTTTATGCCCCAAGGCCATTCGCGGTAATTAAGTCAATTAGGATGCAGTCACACTGCTCACCCGAAGGCGAAAATATAGAAAAGGCAAAGTCAAGGGTTAAATTCATCAATTCTAATAAGAATGCACTAGCGAAGTAAAGCACTGCGGTTTTATATACTTTCTGAGTAACCTATTCGTACGAATTGAAATAATTCTGGCATTTAAACTTGTATTCCAAATTAAGATTTAACTTGAAATTAATGTAGACAATTACTGAGAGAATTAGATTTTTGTAGCGTAGTTTACTTGAGATGAGTGGGATCATGTGATATGAAACGGCGAATCAGGATGTTGTACCATGAAAGCATAGTAAATTGTTAAATTAATGTCTTTTTAACAAATTTATTGTCTTTATTTATTGGCTTTTTACAAAATTTTAAACAATATTAAAATGTTTATGCCTTCAAAATAATAATTTCTTCAAACTAACATTTGTTAGCATTTTTTATGTGTATACTGTGTGTTGTCGCCAATAAAGTCTGCTTGGCGAGATTTGCGCCGGCGAAACGGAAAAGTACCATTATTTTTTTTTCTGTTGATTATATGCTGTTTCTAATTATAATCCTTCACTATACCATGTCCGGTGTCTGGTTACGTGTACCGGTATCCATACTCTATGTTGATGATATAATGGTGTCATACCTACGCAGTGTCGATTCTATGTGGCATTAGTCTATGAATGTAACACGCACTGAGGATGGAAATATATCATAACTGCTTCAGGACACCTAAAATGACGCATTGTTAAAATAAACCTCTTTAGATTATGTTACGAACGCCCGCATGATATATATGCCATTTTGTCTAGCTTCTTCCTTTGGAAAGAATTAGAATTCATGCTTTTCTGTCTGAAGGCTTAAGTATTTACAAAAATAAATGATTTTCCATTTCAGCTATAAAATTTGCTGAATTTATAGTGATTTTTGCATGAATATAAAATTTAGTGCTAAGCATCTTAGAAATTTTAACAGAATAGTTTAAATGTTCAAATGAAATTCACGTAAAACGTGAATTTACTTACCTCCTTGGATGTTGAAGTGGTAGAAAAATTCCATTTTGCAAGCATGAGCCATAGCGCCAAGCTGAGGGGTTCGCATGATGGATGCATAATTGTTAACATCTTGGAAAAAAAAAGAGAACATTGCATAAATAGTTAAGCAACTACGCGAAAATAAATTATTAAGCTGATAAAAAGAAAACAGAATTTAATGGGCTTAATATGTATAATTAATGGGCCAATCTGAATTTTGAAATAGCAGTTGCCTAATTTGCGTATTTCCTGCCATAAATTCTGCATACAAATCTAATTTTACATTCAGTCTCAGCTAATGAGCATAAATAATCACTTCATTGGACACTGGTTGAAAACTTTAACAAGTGACCCTATTTTTTCCAGAATATCCTTTGAAGTTTACAAGAAGTGTACACCTTAGAGAGTAAAAAAAAGGGACAGTTCTATATATTTATAAAATTTGGTGAGAAACACCCCAAGAAATTAAAAATTTATCTTGGCGTACCTTTTCCAATTTTTCAGCTTTCATTGTACACGAGCCTGAAAAAGTCATCGTTGATACTTTCAAATAATTTTAACAAAGCGCGTAAACCACATTTGGCATTATTATTGCTTGTAACAAATATGGCAAATTTCAAAACACGCCAATACATAAATTCGCGTATATCAAGGCGTTTTCATCATATTTCATTTACGCTATGTGTAATTTATTATGTTATTTTAACTCTGTTTTCGAACTGTCTTATTTGATTTTGTAACATATTATAAATGTAATAAAAAATTGCTTAAAGTTCAGAAAGACTTACTGTATTTTTTCCCGGTAAGAACTGCAAAGTATCCTTCAGAATTCCCTTGACTATCCGCGGATGGAACGGTAGTATTCTGAGATATAGAAAAATCCTCTGCGTGCTTTCGCTGCCATTGGTAACTGCTCCAGGTTGCGACGTTGACCAAACCGCACATGTCCTCGTGAAAATCGCATTGTCCTGTTTGGTATAAGAAATATTAATGATTGTGTATGAAAAAAAAAATACTTTGCTAACTGAATACTTGCTTTTAATGCTACTTATGCATATTTATTTGCAGTCTTTTCTGTACAATAGCATGCCATTGTCTTCATTGCTAATTATCCTTGCGTAGCCATTCCTTATCATTAAAACATGGATGTCTGTCTTTACGGAATATAACGAAGACAGTGCATAAAAAGGACACCGTACCCAGAATTCAGTAGTTATTAACGACCCCAGTTCACACTCCAGAAGATTCGGTATTTATCAGCACCCATTTTACACTTGGATGTAATAAAATTACATTTACTCAAAACATATTTGTTACAAATTGAACATGTACATAAAATTTTTTATTAGCACTTATTACAAATTGTTACAAATTGAACATGTACATAAAATTTTTTATTAGCACCCGTATTTTGTGCCCGTATTTTGTGCCCGTATTATGAGTGATGATGTCGTATCTATGACAAAGTGCAATTATATAGTTCCGAAGCTGTCAAAGACAGCTTTTGCGACCTCGGCAGCTCAGTATAAAGTAGGTCAGCAAATCAGTATAAAGTAGGTCCACTGGGTCTTCAATGCCGTTGTTAAACAGTCTGGCCTGCTTTGCTGGGCAGTTGAAAATGTGATGGCGAGACAGTGGGATGCCATCTGGGCAATGAGGACAAATGTTGGTGTAACTACGCTGTCCGTCTGCAGAAATCGTCATTCCTTTTAAGTGATTTGTCCTAAGTCTGGTTATGATAGTCGATATGGCTCTGTCACAGTTCAATTCTGGGATGGAGTTTCCCTTAACGTGACCGATTAGTCTTTGGCTGGCAACTGCATTGACATCAACGAGGGTTAGGCAGTTGGATGGCTGAGGAGAATCACGGAATGCCTTTGCAAGCTCATCGGCCTTCTCATTACCAAAAATATTTACATGAGCCGGTATCAAATTTTAAGATGCAGGATCTTTGGGCAGCAATGATTTTGTTTCTGAGCTCAATGATCTGATGACTGAGTTGACATTTGCCCTTCTGGATCGCTTGCAATGATGATCTGCAGTCAGAGAAAATGATGATGCCCTTGGAACTCTGGTCTTTTTTAGAGAGATAAATCTTCAGAGCACTTTTGATGGCGCTCTGGAGATTTATCTCTCTAAAGAGTATCTCACTTTGAGTATATTTTTAATATAGGTACACCTTGTACATAACAAAATAGAACAGTTCTATATATCTCCCGTTTTACTGGGGAGGCTAACGAAACTTAACTTGCGTTTTTCATATCTCGAAAACGCGACTTTAGATATGCGGCATATTTATATATAGCACTGTTCTAACAAAGGCATTTTGACACAAATCGGAATTTTGCTGAAATGACATATCTAGTTTTTCATATTTCCATTCTACGACTCAAACTCTACGTAAATATTAAATTTTGGGAAACGTGGAGAAAAACTTACCAAGAAATTTATTAATTTATCCTGGCGCACTTTTCTCAGTTTCAGTCAAAAAATACTCCACTTGGAGAAATTATTAATTTATGGTAACCTGTTTTACTTTCCATTTCATTGTGCACAGCAGAAAAAAGGTAATTCGTTTTCTTTCAAATACAATTAACAAAATGCTTAAACCGCATTTGGCGTTCTTATCATTCATAACAAATATTCCAAATTTCAAAAGGCGTCAACATATAAATTCATATATATCTTGGTAAATTTTGACTGAAAACTCTGAATTTTCGCAAGTACCCCTAGAAATATATCTACTTTAGGAGAATGGTAAACATTTTATATGCTATAAATGAGAATTTTTTCGAAAGCTTTAAAAACATTACTAAAAATACAAATTAAAAAAAATAAATTGTAAAATATAGGCGAATTTTATTTGGTTTGAATGCAGATTATGAACTACGAAAGAAGGTATCAAGTAAGTTTAACAAAACAAAAGATATTGATAAACATATGCCAAATTCATTAAACATTGAGGAGCTGAAATTTTGAGTGCTAACGTTTTAAAAAATACGTCTGCGGTTTTTACAAAACTTGGCACTTTGGCAAAATGTGAGTCGTAGAATCGAAACACGGAAAAAAATGGTATGTCATTCCAGAATAAGTTCGATTTTGTGTCAAAATACCTACGTTTGAAGAATGCTATATAGATATCTAATATATATCCTAAAGCTTCGTTCAGACGAGGGGCAAAAAGGCCATAAGTGGTTAAAGCCGAGCTCTGTTGCCAAGGCAACCAGTCTGTACGTCACAAAATCTGGTTTAAGGCTCGTAGCGTAGGGTTCAAAGTTTTCAACTTTACGCCGAGTTTGGGATAAGCGTCGACCAAGAGCGAAGCTAAAACGAAGCAGCGTTCTACAGAAAATTTCGCTGTTACAAAACAAGCAGAGCGAACGCGGGAAGTCAATCGAGCAGGAGAACAGCGCGGGAAAGTTATAGACACATCGATGCATGCGCAAATTTAGCTTCTCCCATTGGCCACGGCTTACACACCGTTCTCGCAAGTGAGAACGGAATTCCCGTATTTTGTGCCCGTATTATGACTACGCCTCTATGCCCTTTACGCCGCCGTCTGAACGCAGCCTAAGTCTCGCTTTCGAGACATGCATTTTTCGAAACGGAATGAATGAATTTCGAAAGGGAATGAAACATGAAATTTTCGAATGGGCACCTTTAAATATCTTTCCAGACAAGTTTTAATTTTGTCAATCGGCGCAGTAGAACAGGATACATGGAACTGTTTCTTTTTTGTGTGCAAAGTGTACATACTTTGATTAAATATTAGAACAATACAAAAATGTATTTTGCATAAAACGTATTTTGTTAATTAACTTTTGATGTTTTCAGTTTATTTTGTTCCACTGTTTCACTTTTTAATGCAAATAAACGGTATACTTCTAGGTTAACTAGGATTTCATTTTCTTAAAAATATTACCTGTTTTGTGAGATTATATGACCTACATCCCTTAATGTATATATAACTCAGGTAAAGTTGAAAACTATACGTACCACAGTAATGCTCATCAGAGCCATCTTCACAGTCTTCCTTAAAGTCACATTTCTGGGTAACTGGAATGCATTGACTTTTGCTCGTGCAACTAAATTCTCCGTTCTTACACTTCTTAGGTGGTGTTGGTGTTGAGAGTATAGGCGGAGACGTTGGAATTGGAGCTGGAAATATAGAACGATTATATTATTATTAAAAATATATATTATTTGTACATCAAAATACTTTTACAATTAAGTGATACGCACTGAAATCAAATGTTTCTGAGGAATCAAGACTTAGCATTATGAATATTAGAAAATAAAAACAAATTATCTTTATTTAGTGCTCTGTATTCTGTTTGAAAGAAATTTTTACAGAAAATTAAGTGTCAGGATTGGTAGAAACAAGAACGAGATGCTACTCCAAACTCCTATGTTATTGATATGCAGTGTTTCCGAAACCTTTCATAATAACTCATAATAGTCAAAATTATATTTATCTGATCACGTTGAACATTTATCTTAAAAACGTGTTTCTTCTATCTAAGTACCATTAACTCAGTAGTCATAAATTTTAATTATCTGACAATCTTAAACATTTAATTTATCTTAAAGTTATATTTTCTCTATATAAATACCATTAACTCAGTAGTGATAAATAATACTTATCTGATCACCTTGAATATTTATTTTATCTTAAAAACAAGTTTCTTCAATATAAATGCCATTAACACAGTAGTGATAAAGTATGCCTATTTATCTAATCACCTTGAACATTTAATTTATCTTAAAGTCATATTTTTCTATCCAAATGCCATTAACTCAATAGTGAAAAATTATATTTATCTGATTACTTTGAACATTTAATTTATCTTAGAGTCACATTTCTTCTATCTAAATACCATTCTTTCATATGTAGAGTAAATTGAAATGATTAACTTAATGCATATTTGAAATTCACATTTCTGCTTAAATGGTTTTTTAGATGAAAGATGCGCATTACACAATCACATTTAAGGGCAACTAATTTTATGGTAAGACAATAGCGCATTCTGCGCACTTAATGTTTTTAATGTTTTTATTACGAATTTAGTAATTTCTGAGAGGATTGCGATATAGCTTTGGATTCAGAATCGATGAGAATATGTTTTCATTTGTTTTTTCTTGTTGTTTGAGAATTTTGCCGGCAAATTTTGGGAATGCTATCATAGCATTCATGTTTTCTATAATACCAAAATATTTAGTTTTATAAAAATGAAAAGATTGAATATTTCTTCATTTTTATTTCCTTGTACGAAGAAAAGGCACTACTGTAATTGCGAAAATTTCGGATATCATATTTTAGAGAAAATATTCATTTTGAGCGCTGTCGAATCCATTTGAATGATTTTTTTTTCGTCATACCTGTACATGAGAACACAATAAAGGACACTTTTTCCTAAAACAGATTGGAAAATGGATTTGGAAGAGATTTTGTTTCGTGACATCTAAGCCGTACGTACGTATGCATGTATCTCGCATAACTCAAAAACGAGTAGCTTCAAAACGTTGAAATTTTATAAGCGATGTTTATGCGTGTACCATTTTTCAAGTAATCTAAAATTTTAGTTTTATGAGATAATGTCAAATCTTTGTGATCTTTGCGGCTGCTAAAGCTGCTGGTTATTCATGTTTCATATATAATTCATATATCAAAGATAATTCATATATTTTTCCGTATCATACTGAATTTTTAGATTAAAAAATATGCACATGCAAAAGAAGAACAGGATAAACTCATATATATCAGTGATTAGAGCACTGATAACGTGAGTGAAATATTAGCAACTAGGCCTGGGTCCCTTAGCTAGCGAGTAATGTCAAGCAAGGTCACCATATGCGCACTTGAATGGTCTCTAGTAAAGAGCAAATGTCAGTAGACAAATAAGATTGTGCTCTTTTCAATTGAGTTCTATGACGTCACGTTTTGAGATGGGCAAGAAAATGAGCTGAAAAAGTACTAGTTGCTTTTTAGGAGAACTATTATCAGCGGCGCCACATGCTGAATAATTTCATGTTCGAATAGTAACCCTGTTTGTACGCCTGAAAACGCCGTTTAATAGAGTAAGTTGGTATCGCGCCACCAACGCTTCGAAGCGTAACGCGTATAATTGAGCTTCTCGCGCGAAGCCAATTAACACTTTCCCATCGATGGACGCCAAAATCTGTTCCTCTCAAACACCTGAAACGCCCGTGCATACGAATTTCTTTTGCAATTGATTTCCTTCCCCGCCTGTCAAGTAGAATGCTACAGCGTTAACAAAAACCCATTAAAGTGGCGTAATTACTTCTATCTGGAGAATCTTTGTCGGTTTCACACATAGTATGCAGTTTCCCTTTAGGATGGGATTACAACCTCAAGCATCAATAGCTACACGTTGGCGCTAACCAAATTGCTTTCAAATAAAGCAGCTATATTAGTGGCTTGAAAAGAATGATTGGCATGCAATTCAACAACTCCCGAAAACAACGAACCATGCTCTAACGTGATGAGGGAAAGCACCAGATAGGAAATGAACTCAAGCGTTCGGCATTTCTACAGATGTCTGAATGCACGGGCGTTACGGGTGATTTCGATGTGAAAGCGTTAAATGCAGACGATTAAAACGACGCCTATACGCAAAATCGCGTTTCCGCAAGTCCGCTCTCGACAAGGATTTGCAGAATAGAACATAAAACATTTTAGTACAATACAAAAGTAACTCATATTCATGCAGAAGACAAGAAATAGGAACTTACTTATTTGAGGTACGCATTTGTGGTTGAAAGATATATCATCTACAGCTATATAATTTACTTTTCCTTGTGATATGGTAATAGAACCCTCGATAATCACCTGTAATAATTGACATAACCTATTATTCAAGTAACTTTATATATTTTATTTCACAGTTTTAATAAATGCTTCATTATTACACCCAAAGCTAACGATATTCCACACAGAAATGAAACTATAGGTTTTTCGTAGAAAAAGCTAGATATTTCCTAATAGACAAATATATGAATTTTCAGAGCAAAAGCAATAAAAATGCAACATCAGAAATGAAATAAAAAAATGTTAATTGTTTTCTGTTACATAAAGCTGATGATATTGATTAAATACTAGTAGAAATTTATGTTTTCTGCAGTACCAGCCGTATGAAGAATTTTTTAATATTTTTAACACTTTAATAAATTTGCATCAAAGATATGTTTCTGTGTAGTACTGAAGAGTCGTTAGATTGTTTTTTGAAGCAGGAAACGTGAAAAATTTGCAATGCCCTCACCCGGACATGTCGAATACGCTTTGATAAGCATGCGGAAAAACACCACGAAGGCATGCGGAAAGGAAGGAGAAAATAGCTTATATAGTACAATAAATTAAAATATTTTTGCATTTTATTTTGTATTTCAGCAAAACGTAAAGAAACATTTAAAATATTTCTTAGACTAAAAAATCTTGCAAAAGATTAGATCAGAAACAGTGCTATTAAATAAAAAATTTCGAAATATATAGTCTATAAAATTTTAAAAAGTATCAAACATTTACATGACTTCAATTTTATAATTTTTGAATTTCACTATGCGAGATCTAAGAAATGAAGATAACATGTCAATAAATGATCTGCAAAATTTATTTTAAGTGAATTATTTAATAGTGAAATCTCACACTGAATTTTCCTATTTTCTTGCATTCACTTTTCTTTAAAGAAGAAACTTCATTTTATCCAACGTGCAAATGGATTGAATTGAATAATTTGGGTTTCGGCAAAGCACTTAAAAGCTATTTGCCTAAGCAAAGAGATCCCATCCGGGAGGAAGTTCTAAGGGAATCTGCCTCGTGTCCACGTTACACATTGGAAAATTTACGGAACCTCTCATGCAGCCGGTATTTGAACCTGGATCGAACCACCTGTGATTTCGCCTCTAGTGAAGATCCCAGTATACAGCGTTTTTAAAAAGATTGCAGAAGTTTATTTTATTGTCTTAATAGATATTTTTAATTTTGATCTTTCCTCCTTCCAGCATGCCTTCGTAGTGCTACGGTTAGCACATTAGGCGCATATTCGAGAGGTCCAGGCTCGATTCCCAGTGGTCTTCTGCTTCAAAATAATCTAATGACTCTATAGTGGCGCCCGAACTAAAAAGGTGGGTGGTGGATGATGACTCTTCAGTACCAGGATTTGGCGATTGTGTCTCGTAATCCCCAGTCGTCCTTTAAAAGGGAAGGTATTTCCTTCCTCCTTCCGGCATGCCTTCGTGGTGTAACGGGTAGCACACTCGGCGCGTATTCGAGAGGTCTAGGTTCGAGTCCCGGCGAAGGGCACTGCTCATTTTTTATGTCTTCCGCTTCAAATTAACCTAATGACTCTACAGTGGCGCCCGAACTGAAAGGTGTTGGGTGATGATTCTTCATCACCAGGTTTGACGATTAGCTCTCCTAATCCCCAGGGACAGGGAAAAGTGGACGGAGCACCAGAACTTCGTCAATGACTTTTACAGGTATTGCTCCGCCGCACTACTCTACCCCGCTGGGCTTTCGGTTGGCCCGCATCGGATGCTAGCCTAACAAGACATTTACATAGAAATTTTACATTAATACCAGACTCATGTATTGAATATACAATTACAAGGACACAGTATACAATTATTACAAAAAAGTTAACCTATTAACAAAAGTTGGATTATGGCAGATTAATATAACATAACTATTTCGAACACACATCATACAAACTTTCATTGTACATCGAACATTGTACATTGCCCTTCATAAAAACAATATATTTAGATTAGTATATCTAATTACATCGAATTACAGTAAACATCTTTTTAAGGAACTAATTGGGGAAAATTTTTTTTGTTTATCTCATTGTACTTAGTTGTATTCCTAAGGCAAATTATGTTATTAATACATTTCCTTTCATTTTTTAACTTGTTACACACAATTGCATCAGCACTGAAGTCTTACATTATTATTTTTTTTTTGTAAATTAATGTATCATAAATCTCCAGTTGCCCTTTAGAAGGGCGGGAGTATATAAGGTATTTCCTTCCTCCTTCGGGCATGCCTTCATGGTGTAACTGTTAGCACACTCGGCGCGTAATCGAGAGGTCCAGTTTCGAGTCCCGGCGAGGGCATTGCTCATTTTTCGTATCTTTTGCTTCAAAATAACCCAACGACTCTACAAGCTTTTTTGTATTTTCTTGTTTCCCCATCTACATTTTCCTGCCAGGATGAGTCTTCAGGATCGAGTGGAACATGGGGTGGAACAGTATTTAAGGGGAAGTCTCGATCACTAGCCTAGAAGAGCTTAGTAGAGCATCCTCTGCTTTCTGGTCACGTCGTTGCCTTAAGCCACTTTCGGTCGTATTGTTACGTGCCTGTTAGTATTCGCCGGTGATGTTTACTGAAGGGCCAACTCTGTTAGATTACTCTGTACACCTTCAGCTAGTCTTAGTTAGTTAGCATTAGTTTCTTATTTTCTATCTTAAGTCAAAGCCAAACTGGAGGCTTTACTGTAAGCCCCAAAGGAAACAACTATAAATTATCTTGAGTTAAATACTAAAAGGGTATTTTAACCTTTCTTGGGGTTATCACTCTAGCCTTTTAGTAGTCAAAGAATAGTCGCTACACACTTCTGTAGTATTCCAGTTGTCAAAGACAATCAATTTAAATAGAATCTTATAAGATGAAGGAATGTGTTTCTTTCTTTTTGACTTCTGAGCCGTGTGCTTGCTGCTGCTATTGCTAGAGAAATTCTTAAATTTACCATTTATTTAGCTAAACTTATTTCTATAGGAATGTTTATTGATTCGATCTAGATTTAAAGCTTGAAAATAAATTTGATTTTTTGGCTTGTAAGCACTAAAATGGCCTGGCTTCCTCCAAATTAGTTGGAGAATACATTGCATCTCTTAGGAATATTGGAATTCCTAAGAGATGCAATGTAGCTTTCATTACAACATGGCTTAGATTCCAGGCCTACCTTCGAAGAATCCTCATTTAATGTCTCACAATGCCAATTTTTCTTAATAAAGCACGGAAAATGAGCATCAAGAAGTCTCAAAATAGGCTGTATCTAGGGTGTCAGATTGTTTCAGTAAAGTTGCATGAGCAGTGTTTCGTTTGGTAATGCTTGCTCGTTGTCTTAACTTGCTTTTGTAAAACTTATGACTTTTTTTATTAGTCTGAAAACAAAGATTTACTCTTTAATTCGTTAAAACATCTAGGCTAATCCAAAAAATTAATTAAGATGAAAAGTTATCAAATTCTTTGCGGTTAATAAAATAAATTGCATATTTTACAAATGTTCCTCATGAGAAGTGCTCTTGATATTAAAAAAAATGGAAATCGTAAAGATAATGATTAGCGACTTTGTCTTAATGGAATCTTTCTGTTCTTTCAACACAGCGACAATTAGCTTGTTTTTATTTAAAACTGGAAAAAAAGATAAAAGGAATTCTAGGCTGGCGTAGATTTTGAATACTTTTCATACACAATTTATGCCAATTTAGAGTTGCTTTTCTGCCATAGTTGAAATTTGATATCGGTGTCTTTGTCTTCGAATTAGGCATTGCATTTCTGTACCGTAAAATGGAAAATTGGGAAAGTTTACGAAAATTTTAAGTCAAAATACAGGAAACCAATAAAAAGGTACTATTTAATAATTAGTTACCAAGTTATTAATTAAATGCCTAATTAGCAAGTTTTAGGTAGATAGACAGTATGCGCTTTGCCGTTAATCAAATAAAACCAAACCGCGTAAGGCCGTTCTTTCCTTTTGGTTAAAAATCGGAAGAGACGATTTGCTATTAAAATTCACATTATGCGTAATTAAGTGGAGTATTTTATCTTTTTGTATTTCTGAAATTTTAGAGAGAAGTTAAAAGTTTTTTTCAACAGGAGCTGAAAATTTAGATGCCTTTGAAAAGTTGAAGTTACATTTTAATACTTTCATGTGATCTTCCAAAAGATTAGCATCAGAGATATAACAATACTCAAATCGTACCTCCTACTAAAAAGCTTTTAAATTCTCTCAAAAAACAGAAACACAGATAGATACAGTAAGATACAGTACTTATGACGTGATAATAGATACAGTACTTATAACGTGAATTTTAATAACAAGTCGTTTGTTTCGAATCTTAAAAGAAAAAGAAGGCTTTACGTGAAATCCATTGTAATCCTGACACCACTATTCTATAGCTGATAAAGGTGGACAGATCGTTGTTATGGACAAAGACACATACACGGAGAGCTACTAAAGTGATTAATGAACGCCCAGATTGCTCGATCCCTAAGGATCTTTCAACTCCTGACCTCACGAAAGTTAAAACACCTATTAAATGCTTCTCCAATACTCTTAGCTCGGCTTAAAAATGTCTCATTCCATCTGTTGCTAACTGTGCAGGTTTTATACTCTCCCCAAAGTCTACAAAATTGGAATTCCATTCGAACCTATACTTAGGATCAATTAGTCAAATATTTAGTTTCTAGATTTTCTTCTTTACTTTCTAATAATGTTTGCATTGTAAAGCATTCTTTTGAAGTCAGCGAATAAACTTGCAGTACTTCACTCCTAGAGTCACTTATGGTTTCGTTTGCTGTAAAATCACTGTTTGCTAATGTTGCAATGCTGACCGGACTATACAGTGCTTCGGGAAACCTACTGAGATACCGAAGGGCCGGGGTTTGAATCCCAGAGAAAGAATGGCTGTAACTCTCCGTCCCTTCATACGAGGTAACGATGGCTCACCTATCAGGTGCTTCCACTAAAATTGACTGGCTTCCTCCAAATTAGTTGGAGAATACATTGAATCTCTTAGGAATATTGGAATTCCTAAGAGATGTAGTTT